TTCGCATTTTTCCTCCATCAACTTTACTGCGTACATACAAAGCGATATATGTTCATTTTTCATGTTGTGCGTTTATTTAAGCGACCTCCGGCAAAAATAGATGCAAAAATAATAATTGTTCCATTGAATGCACGTACATACGAGAGAATTTAATTAAGAAGACCTGCACACAAAAAAATGTTCCATAGCATATATGCATTGCAAAATATTCAGAATTTTTTTTTTTGTTTCGAGTAACGAAGAATTGTTGAGGTGAAATTGATTACACTGTGAAATAAAATGGTACTTAAAAAAACTCGATTTTTATTTGAGTAAGTTATTTGTGTTTCTGATGCATGTAGAATGCAGATACTTTGAACGTCACACGCGTTATAAACCCAACCAACACAATGAAATCAAAAATGTTTCAAGCAACGGTTGTAGTAAACCACCGACAAATGTTCAGGTATGAAAAGTTTTCAGAAACAAAAAAGTTACCGTTTTTTTTCTCTCCCGCAACAAACACTTCACATGGTTTCATAAACCGGATGGAAAAAATCGTCCGCAACGAAAACAAAAAGAGTTGCAACTATAAATAAATAAATTAAGTGATGTAAACAAAGAACACGAAATGGCGTTACAAATAATATATATAGAGGGAGACCGAGTTGAAACCATTGTTCATCTTTGAATGGACTCGCACAATATCCGTTCATTTTTATTCTCTCATTCAGCTTGTTAATTTGCAAGCTCTTTTGCAAGCAGTGGCAAACAAAAAAAGAACACGAATTTCGCGAAAAAAACAGTCATTTTCAACATATAAAAATAACACACGCAGATAATGCAACCATCCATTGAAAGAGAGCAAAAAAATGCGAACTACTGAAAAGCGATGAAATTGCTTTTATCTTTCCTGATCGTAAAATAAATTCAATGATTGTATGTACTCTTTGTCTTTTTCTTTGGTTTATTACAATGTCTTTTTTGTGTGTTTATTAGGTTTTTGAGTTTGGCACAATTTTTCGCCCATTAAAATTGAGATTTTCACCGAATTCAGCCTTTTGATCGTTTCTACGGTGCAAAAATGCTCGAATGAATTTTAAACAAGTGTGAACCATTGAGAAAAAAAGACAAACACAAACAATGCATATTAAGTATTACATGGTGCGAAAAATTCCAAGTGAAAATAAATGTTATTTTAACAATAAAGTGTCTCGAAATCTTCATTTTTATACAATTCAAATGTATATTTCACATGCATTCATTCGCAGTTGAAAAGTTTGCGAAAGATTGCAATGAAAAAGGATTTGTGATTTTTTCTCTTCATGAACGGAAATTAGTGGAATGAGATAAAAAGTAACAATTATGACAGTTTTTTTCGTGCTATCTTACTCGATTGCTCGCCCGCTTACTTTTGCTATGTGCAGTTGTGAATCTGATTACGAGTGATAATAAAGAGCACAAAATAATGAAATTCAATTTAAACCTGAGCGCATCCAGAAAATAATTTATGAGGTTTGCACTGTTTGCAAGAAGTTACACATTCATATTTTAATTACTATCACGCTTGAAGAATACACACACACGCACACTTTTTTAAATTGTTGTTCTTATGGCTGGAAATAAAAAAAATCATATAAAATTCACAGCTCGTTAATAAAAATTGCACCTGATTTATAGCGATGCACATCTATTTTTCATTCTCACATTTAAGATCCGCCTCGAATAAAATATATACGTCGAATTATTACGATGCAAATAAAATGCTGAACAAAAAAATACTAGAAGAAGGCGATGAAAATGTCGCTGAATATACACACACATAAAAAGAAAATGCAGAAGATTAACAATTTAATCGTTTTTAATGCTCGACTTACTCTTTCATATTCAAATACATGGTGAACGGTGTTAAAAGCGGGCTTACTTTGTTTAAGTTTCATTTAATCTAAAAACACTTGCATTTGTATAGAGAGGAAATCTTTTTAAATTCGGTTGCCCACCTCTTTCTGTCTATCTCTCTGTCTCCATTTGGGTTCGCCCGGTCTAGTATTCACAAGAAAAGGGAATCTCCGTGAATATTCTCATTGGTTATTGTGAAGGTTTATTTAAATTTATTTGTTTCCTTATCGATTGGTAACGCATTTTATTCTCTTTTCCCGTTCGAAATACCCTTTGAATTATTTAACTCTCTCTCTCTCTCTCTCTCTCTCTCTCTCTCTCTGAGCAAAAAATAAACCCAATTCACGATTTTTAATTTTATTAAGAGTCTCTTTTGGGGCTATTTTAGATGTAAACGTACATATGAAAATCCGTAATCCTTGATACAAATTTCCGATGAAAATAAAACGAAGAAAACAAAAAAGTATAACGTTGTGGTCTGCAGGAAACCCAATCGATGCGATTGGCTATATCTCTCTCTCATATAAATAAATACAAAATGTATGTAAATGCCATGAATGGGATGAAATAAAAAAAAATGTTACACCGAACGCCATGTCTAATGCCTTGATTGCGTTGGCGGTTAGCTAATGCAAAGCGGTTTGAGAAATTCGGAAATAAATCTTTTTTCGTGGATTTCAAACGGCTGGAGAGAATAAAAGTAGCAAAAAAAATCACATCTAAAAACCCTTTTAACGGAATTTTTTTGCAAAATCCATAACGGATTCTCGCGTACACACGCACACGCATACGATTCCATTGTTTTGTTCAACAGTGCGAACACTTTGCATGCTTCGTTACTTCACAAAAGCACTTACCAACTTTTATCATGACAATATCACAAGTAATCTTTTGCCTGCCTGCCTGCTCTTGTTCTGCTTCGCCTCAAGAGAGCAGATATAAAAATTAATGAAGAATTTGCGGGTAATTGGAAAATTAAAAATTAACCACCCACAATTACTGGAGAGAACATTTAAGTTTCTCAAAAAAGTATTCGCACACAGTTTGAATTTTGAATGAAGATAACAAAACGTACACACTGTTGTATAGTAAGTGTTTCCATCTGCATGGGATATGATTGAAGCCGTTCATTTGAAATTCACTCGAGAAATTTCGCTGCGGCCATGGGGACCAATATCAACGGTCATTATTACTAACCGGCATTCTTTTGAATTAAATTTCTTTTGCTTTCTATTCAGTGACATTTTTATTCGTTTCTTTATTTATTTCCGTGATGATCGTCAGCGTACTTTGATTTATTCATTTTCTATTGAACCTAGTTCATTTGGCGCATCGAATTAAGTATTTTTTCTATTTAAAATACAAATGTAAAATCGAATCATCCACATTCGGTGTGGTTTCAATTGAGACTCGAAGTCGTAATCGTCTCGAGTACTTTCACATCTCAATAAAGCATTTATTGTCAATGAATTCGGTTGACGGCGGTGGATGGCATTCGATTTCGAAATCAAAAGCAGCCGCCAAGCACAAAGTAGAATCCTAAGATGAAATAAAATTGTCCCCAGCTCAATCGTACCATCCAATGTGTGTGGCACCAGACAATGCAAAACACACAAAAGCCAAATAATATTGCTTGGGTTTTATTGTATGTTTATATTTGCTCAAATTGAGATGAGCACATGCTATTCACCGTAAAGCGACCGCTGCAAAGAGCCAAAGAGATGGAATCCAAAGCGAGGCAGCGTTGTCAATGGAATTCTATTCGTATTAGCATATTATGCTAACTAAAATCAAGCAATGTTGGTATACCGATGCGCACCGTAAACATATAAATTGGATCGAACTTTGGAAAAGTAATAAAAGTAAGAAAATACCTTCATTCTTTGGTTGTTGGGTTTGGTTTTTTTTGTGTTTGTGTGCGCAATTTTACTACGTTTTCTCATTTCAATCACACACGATATAAACTACGGCGAGAACGAGTCGAAAGAGCTGAGTCTAGTAGAAAAACTATTAAAGTCTTGATTTCTACTTTTGTTTTTTTCTTCTCCTACTTCTTCTTCGTCTTTATAAAATAATGCGTAAAGTCTCTGGCGACCATTCACAAACCTGAAACCAACCACTGCGAAACTTTTGAAATCACAAGTTGTATGGTTTGTTCGGTTTAAAATTTGCTCTTTTTTTCGCCGCCCCTTTTGTATGGAAAAGCAATTTGCAAAGCTCTAGCTGGAAGAAGTTCGAATTGAAAGTTTTCGTCGAATGTAATAAGTCCCAAGCCATTTTTATGGGATTTTTCGTTTTTTGTGCATGGTAAAAATGTAATAAAATAACCGCAGGATAAAAAGATAACAGTATTCGCTCATATTGAAGTGAAATAGTTAATCTTCAGCGGAAAATCCATTGAACTTTACGGATCAAGTTACAAATTGTAAATAAGAACATAAAAGAAACGCATGCACGCGCGAAAGACGCAAACTGTGAAAATAACAGTGAATAGATTGGGCTACAGCTATAGCAGTGCTATTTTCACAGCTCCTATTCATATGTGCTATTTGTGAACAACGCATACGGGCAGCGATTTTATGATTCAATTCCGGACAATAGACCTATTGATTTTTTTATGCAAAAAAATGTAAAATACTAAAATCAATTGTTCTATTTAAATTTTGAACATTTCGTTCGGAATTGTATCATAAAATTGCTGTCCGTATACGTTGTTCACAAATAGCACCTACGAATAGGAGCTGTGAAAATAGCACTGCTATAGCTGTAGCCCAATCATTTCACTGGAAAATAACAAAGTCTTTTAAAATCAAAATGACCACTTAATAAAAAGAAGCTTATTGATCATTAAAATAGGAAATGAGTTTCGAATTACAGCTTGATTTGAAATCGTTTACTTGGTACTTTTGAAACGAACATAAAAATAAAATCGATTAAAAATCAACAATTTTGTAAAATGGTTAATTGGTTTGATAAAATAACCTTCAATAAATGCTACCGGACACATTTTTTCTTCACTTTCAAAGGTTCAGTTTGGTGAATAAAACTTTGTTTTGAACGAAAGGTCGTGTTTTTTGATGTTTTATGCCTTTTTACGCATTAATTCATTCAAAAGAACAAAAATGTATCCCATATTAACAAGTTTTTTTTTGATATTTTTCGTCTGGACCATTGCTAAAAATGAACTCATTTTTTTTCTTTGATTTTTTACAGCGCTGCTAGCAGGCACACTGAGGACATATCAAAAGGCGGGCTGCGATGCCGAATACATTGCATTAAGCTGTCCACGTGGTACGAGCATATCAATCGAAATAGCCCAATATGGAAATACGCTCAAAGGTACACAATTCATTCATTTTAAATGCGTTTCACTTTGTAATGGCACCGATCAGTTTTGTAGCATTTACTTTGAACTTCGATGCTATCTTAAAACTCCTGCATTTATGTTAAAGTGTTTTCTTTCGTTATTTGAGTGTGTTAACGCAAAAACGGTGCTGAATAGCACATATTTTATTTTCTTTTTGCAAAACTGAACTGTTAGTAAACTTGAAGTGTGTTCTTTCATACAAGTCGCCGGCAAAACTTTCTAATTCAGAAACTTCGTGACAAAAAAAAGACACACTAAGAAAAAACGTACATTAAAGTTATCATACTGGATTGAGTGGCTTAGTTATGGGAAATAAAAGGAGCCATCAAGCAATGTGTAATACTCTGCAGTTGTTATACGCAAGTTATGCAAGTTCCAAAGTGTTAGATAATAAGCTTAAGTTATTTCGCACTTCTTCGCATTTGAAAAAACGCAATAATTACATGCAATGTACATCAATCAGAAATGATGAAGTGATGATGATAATTTACACAAAAAGTTTTCGTTTTTATTTTATTTGCTTTAAGCTTTTCCAATCGAAAGTTAAAAGGACGTTCTCTGATAACTCTGATGAATGGAAATAATAAATAAAGGGCTCAACGATTATGGAAAATCAGCAGACTTACTTTTTGTTCAAAAATCATTTATACAATCAATTTGTAGTGAATTTATCGGGCTCCAAGTTTGATACGCATATGAAACGTAAGAGTAATATAATCTCTAATTATTTCTATACAGAAATTAAAAATATTGGTTGAAGCATATTTTTCAATTCTTTGGCTAAAAAAACGTCTCTTCGAGTACATTCCTTAACATGGGAAAAGCTGGATTATATTATTAAAACTAAGCTGGATGTATTCCATTAATTATTGACTAAAAATGTGTATGGGCATATAATAAGTCGGCTTAAGTACGCACTACAAACCTTCATTACTTGGTGTACTTCTCTCTCTCTCTCTCTCTCTCTCTCATATACCAACAATTAATAATAATTTCTTAATTGATGAAATCTAAAGTAAGCTTTATTGGATGTAAAATGTGAGTGTAGTCATTTCAAAAATGTTAATTGGCTATGTGAACCTTTTTTGCGAAACCTTTTTTACGCTCACTCAAAAAGTTATACCACTCACGTTAAACTATATGGCGCATATTTTGTTATAAATTGGCAAATTGACCGAACTTCCAGTTGTTTGGCATGAATGAGTGTGTGTTCGTGTTTTTGCTCCAAACACATTTCAATATATTAATATAAATGATATGGCTTTGGTGTGCTTCATTTCATAATCTAAATACTAACAAAAACGATGGTTTATTTGTGTCGTCAATGTAGCATCCAACGGTCCTTCGTCTGCCAGAATATCATATTCGGATGAGAATCTCATTACGGTCACAGTTCATTTGCTCTAAATATTTTTTGTATGATATATGAAGATTGCTTATGTGGATGTGTGACCGTAATGATGTTCGTCACAGATCTTCAACGATAATGGTCTACGCGGCGTTGAATTATCATTATTATGGCTTTTTGATACAGATAATACTTTCGGACAGTGTGTTCGCTTCATTTATTATTCATACACTGAAATGTTATTATTCAATCAGAATGTGAGACATTTTCAGCAATATTCATATATTTTGTGATGTAATTAAAGCAACTGCAACAGTTAAACGAGTGTATGCGATGCTGGAAAAACAGTTGGCGTGCACGCACGCTTGTGAAAATGAATGCCAAAGTAATTAAATAAAATTAAGATGCGTTTCATGAACAAACGAAATGTTTGCAACGGTAGAACTTTTGGCAAGAGAAAAAGAAAGACTGAGAGAGAGTGTCTTGAGATTTCCATTGACACATCAAGTAAATATTTCCATAACGAAAATGCTTTCAAATTAACGATGTGAAAAGTGAAAAAGCCAGCTGATCTAAATAGAGAATTTGCACTCATTTTCAAAATGCAAAAGAGCAACAAAAACCCGTCTAGACCGATTAAATCGTGATTATTTTTAATTAAATTTACATAAAACATTTATGCTGCTATTTTCACGAAGCACAGATATGTGCATTTTTTCTCTGTATCTCTCAATTCAATTTCGGTTTTATCTCTGTCTGTAACACAGTTAAGTGTATTAAATTATGCTGAATAAAATTATATTTTGTCAATAATGACGCGCACAAACTACTATGATCGCAAAATCCTTTTGCATATAGCCTTTTGATGTTTTCATAAATTATTATTATATGGTGAGAGACGGGCGGAAGAGATAGAGAGAGAGAACAATGAAATATTGCTATGAGAAGCCACGTGCTTTGTCGCGAAAAATATTAACACAAATTGAATTAGATGAAAATATGTAGTTAAATTAACCGATTCTCTGTGGAGAAGCGAACATGCAAAAAAACCGTTGGAAATTTTCGAACAAGGTTATTAAGTTTTCAATAAAACAGGGAGAGTGCAAAGCACAAGCACTAAAAATGCCGAAGCCCTTGTGCTCTCAAGAAACCATTCGCTCTTTGAGATGCACCAATTTTCAAGATTATTAAAACGGAATCCGAGTGCCAAGATGCTCACAGCGAGTGTGCTTGTGCCACTACTCACACTCCATTGTATTTTAGTGTATAGTTTATTGACGAACGAAAAAAAAAAACGTGAACCGAGTCGTTTTGCTAACAAACGACGTAAATGTAACCAATTCGGTTCCCTGGAGATTGAATCGCCTTTCGCTTGCAACGATGCTATATGTGTCGAAATTGCATTACTGATCTAGTGGGTATGAGCATCTTGCACAGTATTATTTTCACTGGGTAAGAGTGTGCCGTCATTGTCGCACTGTTTGCTCTGCTTACACTTTTTTTTGTTTATTTCCCATTTTTGTGGCTACTGGTCGCAATGAAGAGAGAGAGAGGGAGAGCGTATGCATGCAGCAGCCAAAAGAACATTAACATGAGTAAACACCAAGACGAGCGCTGAAAGAAACAAAAAAGGAAAACGTGAAAATCCAGCACGTTCCGTAGATATTCCATACAACGAGAGTCGATGTGTCTCACTAAATGCGAAATATGTTCATTGCAACGATATGTATGTGCCATGTACAATGTGAATTGGTTGTCAGTGTGTTTGTGGATGCGTGTATGAGTGTCGTCTTAAAATTAAAGATTTATGTTCCATTGTGTTTTATGTTTGACTCGTAAAGTGATCATTTTTTGTGACTTCTTGTCATTTAGCATGTATATGCACAGAAAATATTTGTGTGTCGATGTGTGTGCAAATGTTATCCTTTCGTCTTTTCGCCCCGCGCGCGCTCTGTCGACGATGTCATGTTGCTTATCGTCACTTATTGTTTGCCATGTTCTTTGATATCTTTCATCTCAATTTGGGTGTATGTGTGTGAGTATGTGTATGAGTTGTGCCAAAGCAGTTGTAGCAATTTGGTCGGTACAATGATTTTAGCGAAAAGAAAAAGAGCGTAATACATGCGAGAGAGAGAGAGGAAGAGAGAGCTGTTGGGAGTAGCTTAAGAAAATTCAATTTAACCAGCTCGCAGCGACATTGCTCTCGTTGAATTATGTGTTGCTGCTAAGCAATAGCGCACTCATCGTTCTAAATTAAAAAGAATGCTCACATAATGCAGTTGAATTTCCAAAATTGTTTCGTTTTTCATTTTTTTTATCCACTCTTTGAAATCCGCAAATTTATATTCGGTGGTTTAATTTATATATTTTATATTTGTATTGCATTTGCTCTTGAGTTGCCATGGTATAATTATTAACTTTCCATTTCATGAATAACAGTTTTCTCTATTGAAAAGAGGAAAATAAAAGAACTGTTTTCTGCTACAAATTGTACACACTTTCACTGGCATTGCATTGAAAAAAGTTTCACATATTTGGTCTCTATCTTTTACATTCTTTTGTGTGTATCGGAAAGTGTTTTAACAACATTATGCGGTCATTGCGATGAACTCGCAACACATCTGTAACGCTTCCATATTGTATACAATTTCATTTGCTCCAATTACGATGGTGTACAATGCTCCCATACATCCAGCACTTTTGTTCATGCGTTCCAATTTTAAGAGAATTGTGCTTCGGAGACATTCAAGTGGATTTTCACATTTTGACATAAATTTGTTTGACTTTTCCAACGAATACATCGTACAATGTACACACGAATTGCGATTTTGTTTCAAAAATTATAAATGAAAAACTGACGATGAAGCGAAGCCACTGAAATTACAACTGGATACGTTGCAAGAATTGAAATCGCGCCCATCATGCTATATGAATGGGTGATGATAGGCGGGAGGTTGAGAGATGTCAAAGGATGACGTTGAAAGAGCGAGAAACGATTTTTCTCTGTGTGACAATTTATCAGCACAATGAATGACATCTGGGTCATATTTAAACTCTCATATGCGAATGTGCACGAGTGGGATTTTGAATATGACAATGGCTATCGTTTACGGTTATTATGAATACAGCATTCAGCCTGAAACATGTCATTCCATAGACGTTGGTGAGCCTGTCATTTCGATTTCAAATGCAACTAACATACTATAACATAAAAGCCGACAAACAATGGAAAAATATCTGAGTTTTACCATCATCATCATCTGCATTGTAGCCATACGCACACAATGCACATATGATGAGTGCGCGTTGTTGCCGTTTTCTAAATCATTCGAAATACAAAAGGAGTGCTTTTGAATGATACTTCTGGCTTTGACGATCTCTATTTTATTTGTTTATGTCAATGTGTTAAATGGTGCACTTATTGTCGCTTTTCACATTTCCATTGAATGTACGACATGATTTTCTAATTCAACGTTTGGTTTGCAATTAACTTTCTTTTGAATTGTAAATTACAAAGTTTGTACTATAATCACCAAATCGATGCGCACAAACCTCAAAACTGATGTAAACCAATCATATTGTTTTAGTATCGATGCTTTCATTTTAGGACTTTAAAGCCGTAAAAAGGACTATTCCACTTTTGAATCAAACAGTTAAAATCTCTACACAAAAACCATTGTTCAATACCCACAAGCAATGCTCTGCCAATAAAAGAGAAAACAAAATATTTTTTCTGTTTCGATGGAATCAATTGGAAAATTCGAATATGTCACTCACAAAAAACTGAATTCAAATGATTGAAGTTTCGATGATTCATCCCATTGTAATGGTACACAATATTATTTCACAAATCAATATTTACATATAATTCGTCTTTATCTCTTTCTTTTTTTTATTGTGAATCAGTTTTGGCATTCTTGAAATGAAAAAACATATTGAGAGACGGGATCTTTATACTTTTCTCATTATAAGGGCTTTTGAAACATTATCAACAATAATATTATCCCTTTACACCAGCTCAATTGATTTGAAGATGATATTCGACGAAGAATGGATAAATCATTTATTGATGAAGAATTGAAAAACACCTTGAGTACGAGGAAGTTTTATGGGGTTTTTACACCCCAAAAACCCTAACTAAGACATTTTTCCTCCCGCACATGAAAATTAAGTGTATGTGATGAATTATGACCTCAAACGATAAACCCGTTTTACATTAAGCATTTTTTTTTGATTTATCCTTTATTTTTCGCTTTTATCAAACTTATTCCGAAAATAAATTTTCATGTATCCAAATTTGGCCTTGACAACCACACAACCCACACTTTTATTGAAAACTATCTTCTAATCCACTTACTTTGTGTGTTTTATGGATATTAAATCAAGAAAAGGACATATTATAAGAAATTTATCAGTGTCAATCCTCAATTGACATTCTCAATAGTTAAGATTTCTTAAGTCTAGAAATGTATGCACATATCTCTTACATGAAATGAAAATTATAATTGAAGAGCACATAAGTAAAAATATTTGAGTTTGAAATGCTTGTTTATTGGATGAATACATTTGTTGGTCTATCTCGCTTTATTAGTCTGAAAGAAAAGGCATCATTGCTATAATGATTGTAGAACACTTTTTTGTCTCAATTCCGGATTTCATGTTCTATGATATGTAATATTTTGAAGTTTATGATGATGAATAAGAAATATTGCCATCAGGCTGAGATATGCAACATGTCTGTTGGCAAACTTTATCTTATTATAGAGCTTGTATGTTATTTTAAATTGGTCTGACCACACATTTATTTCATTGCTGTTGCAAAATAAATGAAATTGCTTCATCTCCGATTCTCGGAAATTCAGATAGTTATTACAGAATATTCGTTACATAAAATATCATGTAATGGTTTCATCATTTCAAACCATTTGACCATGGTTGCAAATTTCTGCAGTGCTTTCCATGTGCATTTCAACACAAATATTTTTGTGCAACTTTTGTTATGCATACAATAGAGATATTACCTCACACACGTAGAAATCAGATAAAATTCAACGAACTTTAAACGACAACAAACTTGAATGTGTAAGAGATTCCACAAATAACCTCTTCATGTAGATAATAAAGTTGAAAATTGTTTTTTTTTTTTATTAAAAGCGATTCTGAAATGTGTATATATTTCAAAGTTATATAATGCTATATTATTTGGGATTTAACGATGTATCAAAACGGTAATTAGTCACAGTTTAAATATATAATTAAAAGGGACCACTGTCATCTCGTCTATCAACGTGTATTTTCTACGTGATAATGATAGAAATCAATGTGTGCAAACTGTAAACCAATCTCTTTTTAAAATTGTTATCTACCTTTTCATTCGAACTTAGTTAAGGATAATTACATTTTGGTGAATGATTTTTTTCTCTGTGTTTATTTCAGATGGTCCCGTTTCTAGTATGTGTCCACCACGAACTGATCAAACAAAAGTCGATACGACTCGTACCGAGGACACCGAAATTGAAGTGAAACCACCGGAGAGTTGCTTGACCTATCAATTACAGGTAATTTCATGCAGTCATTATTAGTGGCTTGTGAGTTGTTGCAGGAGCAAAGTGGCTTTTATGCAAAAAAAGGGTTCAATTTACGATGAACAACCGTGCAGCCACGATACACTTCAACATCTGCGGTCACACCGTTAAATTCAATGTGCATCGACACACATGTACGAAATGAGCTTTTTGCAAATGAAGCCACTACTATAAACTATTTTACGAGCACAAGTGATATGAAAGATGTAAACGGGCGTCCAAAAGAAGGAGTAAGCCATAAAAACTTGACGTGATTGACAAACGCCCCGATCTTGTTTGGTATTCATTAGGCAATCAAATATGTCTTCGTCTTGACAGCAATGCGGACAGACAACACTGTCATGAAATTACCTAAGCAAATACTGTGTGTGCGCGCGCGCGTTAGCGACAATTCACATTCATCACTCATTAAATCGAAAATTTGTTTGATTTTATTCTCAATTAAGTTTCAACAAGTCATAAAATGACTTAAAACCATATACAACATACCACAAACGCCATAATTCACACTTTTAAACTATGTTTATCGAAAAGTTTAGATGTATACATGTGTGAGTTCGCTTTCGGAATGAATGTACGTTTCGGAAATGCGTCAATTTGGTATTTTGGAACAATTGTTACAAATTGAACGAACACAGAAAGATCGAGATAGAGAGAGAAAGAGAAAGAGAAAGAAAGGGACAGTAGCACACACAAACATTCCCATTAGTTATTTAAATATTAAACATGGCACTCATTCGTTGGCTGGTTTAAACACATGTGCACCGAATAAATCAAATAACACTACAGTGAGAGATGCATGGCCGTGAGGTTGTGATACATGCAACCATTTCGCACACATAATTTTGTTCAGAAAAAGCCGAGTCGAAGCTACTACTTCTGCCGCTCGTATGCAATGTGAGCTGCGTCTCTTTTATTATTCTCTGAAGAGGGAAAAAGAGAAAGGAAGCAAAAGTGGGGGGTGAGAGCATTCGGTGATTTGTAAATGGATCTTCATTTGTAACAGTAACACATTAAAAGCACATTGGGAAGCTTTTCAACGTTGTGATTTTCTATAACAGCCGGCATGCCATTTATTATGAATATTAAGCGGCATCAAATCGTGCCACATGCAAACATCAGCAGCAACGAACACGTATCAACTTACCACTATGCATATATATCGCGCGGGCGGTTGTATTGTATGTTTCGTGTAAAGCTGCTTGTTTCTACATTATTTATGTAATAAATACCATAATTGACAAATTAAAGGAGATTCGACGTGTTCGCGTGTGTGTGTATGAGAGAGAGAGAGAGCAAAATATTAGAATGGATGAAGGGCACAACGTTGACAATTTATATTTTCAAATAAATAATACAAATCTGCAATGTTTAATCGCTTCGGCATTGTGTTAGATTTACTTGGAATTATTTTGATCGCACATTGAACTATGTCGCTCTCTTGTTTACATGGTAAAGGCAATTAAATAGTATTTAATTACGAATTAATACAATAGTGATGGCAATTTAGAATTTGCGGAGGAATCGGCATTTTGGCAATTAATGTTTCTTTGATAAATAATGACTTCGGAATTTATGATTTATGCGAGTACTTCAAAACAGTAAACTATTGTTGGAAGATACAAACCAAAATCACCGCAATAAATATGTAAAATTTAAGCCGAATCGATTTGACGAGTATTTCTTCAAATAAGATGGTAAAATTACAGCCGACGAATACACGTCTCAAGTGAAACCTGAGAATAGCTCATGACTAAATGAGCTGAATGCTGTTAACGTTCTAAGTTTTCCTTAAGTAAAAAATTAAAGTTTTGTTCGCTTAGCACACGCGTCAAGCGCCATATTACGTTATATTCAAAAATGTTCTCATATAATTGTCACATTTGGCAAATTTTACGGGATTCAAAAGTTGAACGAGAGAAATAAAATGTAATGAAAAGTTTTGCTGCAAGCGAATCCCACTCAATGTGTTCAAACAAACTTAAAAGAACAATGATGATTAAATCTTTTAGTAGTGGTGCTTGGCATGAAACCGACAAACACCCATTACGAAAATCCCACACGTTGATTTTTGTCAAAAGCAAATTAATCCTTGAAGAGCTTATCCACCCAATACTAATAGTTTTCAACTTTTATGTTCGGCATTTCGAATGAATCCAACTAATAAATATTTACATTTCTGTGTCGATTCGCATCTTTTCTCTTTTTTTGCTTTCTGCAACTTGGATCGCCGAAAATCTTTGGGGATTTTGAAAATGCGCATAAGCAACATTTTATAAATATTGCAAATATAAAACTGGTATGTATGTATGTGCGGGTAATCTTTTGATATGAGCTTGTCGTTAAGTGTGCGTGCATAAAGAGTGGATTTCAGCTCAGAAAACTACACGAGAAAATATTTGTTAAATCCTATTGTGCATCGAATATGCATTCCCAAAATGTTGAGTTTCAAGTTAATTTCTTTTAAACTTTTCTCCCCGCATGGAAATATCACTGGGAGGCAATGGAACAAAGTTGAAATAAATAATACAGAGATTGAAATGAAATTTTTAATACTTTTTCCATTCGAAAAATTGTAATTTTCATGAAGTTCTAGCAGTTCAAGTAGATAAATCTGAAAGAAAAAAAAGAGAGAGAGAGAGAGAAACAGTCTTTGACAATATCAAATCCCGTTACCAAATATGCTATGCGGTTCGTTTTTTGCCACAATGTGATTGTGTTGAATAAACCAATCAGCAATTTTTCATACAGATGAATTGAATCCGCATTAAAACTTTCCCCCGTTGGCAGTTGATTCCCATTGTTTCTCTTCAATAATAATCCTTTGCTTTGTCTCTCTGCTATACTAGTTTTGTACTTGAATTTTCTCATTCTGGTATGTGGCGGGCAAAAAACGAGCATTCTACATTCAAGTTTTTCTTCGAACTGCATTTTCTACATAACAAATGACATACGACAAGTTATAAACAACTACTAATAATTGTTTCGTGCACCCATTTTTCACCGAAAGAAATTCGGAGAAGGTTTTGTACCCAACGCGTACACAAATACAATACATACAAAATGAAAATCTCGGTTGATCGAATAAAATTAAGCGCACCAAACACAAAAAACAAAATAGCTCAAATCGAATATACACACACAAAATAGCCGAATTGTTTTCGAAACATAAACTGCGAAGTTGTCTTTTTCTGTCTCTCAATCAAGTTTTATCGTTGTTATATTGACACAGTGAGAAAAGTTTTTATCGCAGCGAGAAAGAGAGAGAGAGAGTGTGTGAGTGTAAGAACGAACGAGAGAAAGAAGGAAAAAACACGAGAGCATCGCCAAAGCAATAATGGATTCCAATGGACGTATTGTACGTGTATCTCTATGGGCTGATGATGAATGCACAAAAATTCCAAATCGCTCGTTATTTGGAGCATTGATACGCAACCAAAATACAGAGAAAAAATAAATCGATAAAGTAGCATTGCGGTTTCTTTTTATACCCATTTATTCTCGAGCGTTCTCGAGTATACGATATATTCGAATTGTTCGTCATCATTGAATCACAATCATCTCTTGTGTTCTCTCGAGTTTCGCCTATATTTTTTGTGTCTTTGTCTAATATTTCCAATTTTTATTGCTACAAATCCGCTTAATGGAAATGAATACGAGTATTTCGATTCGCAAATATGCACATTTCTCACATATATTTATACATGCTATATGTGATACAGCAATCACATTATAGAGTTTTAATGGAATCGAGATAGACGAATGGCTCTCAACTCAATTGACCGATAGCAAGTGTTTTCATATACTGTACTACATATTTACGATATAAAGTGGATCAAAGCATAAAAAAATGGAATGTTGAAATTTATGATTTGATGAAAACTGCGCAAATGTATGTTTCTTCGCTTTTTTCTCTCTTTCTCGGCGGATGCAAAAAAAATGTTCATTGTTTCACAGTCACAGAGAGGAAATTGAATGGAATTTTCCATATATAAAATGCATTTAAACTCAAAAAGCCTCATGTACTAGTTTAGTTAGATTCGTCGCATGCACATTTATCTAAAAGTGAATGTATTGAATTTAGACTGATTCTCTACATTTTACATACATAACCTTTGAAAGTAGAGAGGAAGCTACCGCTTTACGTAAATTTAACTTCGTCGCTTTGTTTCGTGCCTTTTTTCTGTTGTGGTCATTCGAAATAAAGTTATACATTACGAAACAGAGACGAAAACGAGATGAAGTAATAAACTTTAATGGAGCATGCCAAAATTTTGGTAGCCAGACCTATTGAGATGAACGATAAAGGGGTGGGCAGAAGATGAGTGAACAAAAAGTATGTTTCAGTGAACGCTTCGCTGAACATTTACGTTTCTCTTCTTATTTGAGCTAGATTTTGTTTGATCGAAAGCATTTTTTTTGCTATAGCTGCTCGAAAAGTTATCCAAAAAAAATCCGAAATTGATTTAATTTGTTTTCTTTGCAACAATATTATTTTTGTTTTTCATTTTTTTTTTGTTCAATCCTATCTCTTTATTGAAGAAAAAAGAGTTTTTTGGGGTGTACGTAATCCCATGTATTGAAAGCATATTTTTTTCTGATCGAAAAAAATGATGGACCGCTTTATTTCATCTATCTCTTTTCTCTCTCCTTCGAACAATTGCCATTGTGCGATTCCGTTTGCAACAATTGCTCAATTAACTAAAAAATTTAAAACAATGGATTTGTATTTTTTTTATTGATCTTCAGTTTTTCGATTATAGTCAAGCAATTTTATAAATATGACGTTATCTAGATTAAAATAGCCAAAGTAAAGGTTCTTAAGAACCATTCGGATTTTGTTTGAATCGCAAACAATACCGTGGAGGTCAACATTTTTTTCTTCTCATATCTGAAAAAAGGATTGATCCGATTAGATCTCCTTCATTGTCCTCACACCACTCTGTCACCCGTCCAATATATTCAATCATCCTTTTTAAATTATGAATAATCCAATAGATATAATATAATAAAAAGGAAAATAAGTACATACACAAGATGATTGATTGAACACGTGCCACCAGCTGGGTTTTCAGTATGATGAAAAACAAATTTTTTTATTGGCTATTATTATTGTCAGTCGCTAAGGAAATTGAAAAATCTCGTTGAACATATTGTATACGTTTACCACGGAAGCAGCTCTGTTTATTCCTTGTAGCCTGGAGCATATTAATTTATAGACGACAAATGCTCAGAAAGTTTTTGTTGGTGTATTGTAGGAATTCAATAGACAGTCGGTTGTTTAATCCAACAAAATCGGCTTACATTGATTATAAATTTGAATGAAGATTCATTAAAAACTCAAATAAACATTCAACAGATAAGAACAGATAACATTTCTTAATTTTCGCATTGAAAATGCTCTCCTCATAAAATCAAACCAATTAAACAAGCAACAAAGTAAATACGCCTATATGTTCAACTTGTTCAACAAAATCATAATCAGCATCGTTAAATGTGTCTAATCATAGAAATTGTTGTGTTATTTATTTAGCCTTAGAACATTGATATATCTATTCTATCGCTTCCGATGACATTCATTCATTTTATCATGTCCTTTGTTATATGTGGACAGAAATTTACGGTTCTCTTTGTTAGCCAACCATATTTCCATCCTATCAAATTGAAAATTTATATGCATATGTACTGTGTGGAGTCCTATGTCTACTTTGTATGTTCAAGGCATACAAAAAAAATTAATAGAGTACAATGTTTATTCACACTTTGTTCATTGCGCACAATCTCTGTCTTCCGGATCGTCTATGTTCTGGTTATTTCGGTTTGTGTATGTGTGCTAAATTTGGAAAATTTTTGGTCGTTGTATGTGATTGTGAGGTTGGTGGTAAACAGAATGCAACGAAAATTGTCGAATTAAATTTAAATTCAACCAACAAGAAATGAATTACTGTTATAAATAGCTGTTACCAGCTAAACAAATTGTTCACGGTGCTTTTAACAAACGGTCGACCATTTACTTTGTCGCATTCGGCAGTACATCGAATCGGTGTTAAAATACACCATGCACATATTTCATCACACTTTGTAGGTTCGGCTCACTCTCCTCCCCTATCTATACATTTATATATGTGTTTTTTCCATATATCCAAGATAGAAAAGAGCAAATTTTCCTTATCACACCACAAAATCGTTTGCTATTTTTATCTGTCGGTTATCCACAACAGACCGACTATGTAAGTATGCCAACCCGTTGTGTTGCTCGACTGAATGAAGGATGCGTACGTTTGTCAACATCACATAATGTTTATATCATTTGCACTAGATACGTTTGATTGTGGGTGGTAAACCGGTTGTTAAGCTTCAAAATGAATTGAAATTCACAAAAAAGCCAACGCTAAAACCGTATTTAATTTTGGCATATGAATACATTTTGTTACTCTACTGGACAATCTAATCGACATGGCACCTACGTACTCAGAGTCTCAGACAGACACATAGCGACGATTGAAATAAATGGCAAAAAATATGTTAATAAATTGAATTTGAACATCTTTCGGTATCTCGCCGTCGTCGTCGGTTGCATTGAGCTCTTTGGCATCAAATGTTCTACTTTTTCAACATTTGGGAATAAACATTCAGCGACCGAAAACCATTCACCACCCTTGTCTCTTCTTTCTTTGGGTGATAAATAAATCGATGTTGGTTCTGTGAACAATGTGAGCACATTTTTTTTCGTGTCGACTCACTCGCTCCTTCTATTTAAAAAATATATAATAAAATATATCCAAGTTCCGTGAGCTTTGCTTGGCATCAGTTTCAGCATCAGCTCACGAAAATCCTCGCTGCAACAACCAGAGAATGTGAGGTAACACATACGAAGTGAAAATATTGAATATTCAGCTCATTTTATTCGGTGTCGCTTTTCTTATTCTTCGTTGCCAGTGTGCAGAAAATCAAATAAATCATTTAAACATTTCATCGAGTTATTTATTAGAATTTATTCATGCTCTCACATTTATCACATGACTTTTCTTTTTCCCTCAATTCTATTATTTTCATGGCATTGTTTGAGATAACCTCTCACACACTTATTTCCACAGTGAAATGTGTGCCGGAGCCCGAAAGGTGTAACACACTAATCACACATTTGTACATATGTGAAGTAACGAAAATGGTTCGAGATCAAGAGCAGCGCTCAGGCACATAGAAGAGACTGCAACCATGCACAATCGTTTTTCACTTGAATGTTTGTTTTTTGTTGCTCTCTGCGACATGGTAAATTATCATTCAGCAAATGTCTTAAATTCCAATAAATAAATCGATTCTCGACGAATATGGAATATTCACTATAATCAAATGATATGTTCGCAAAATCGAATCCAATGCAAAATGTCGATTCCCAAATATGTACAATTATTGTATATGGCAACATATAACAAACTGGTACGGTGTGACACCTCGGATGACAGAGAAAAATTTAATAAAATAATGTACACATTACGTTAAAGGGTTTCCGGCACTTTTCTCTGTCTCGTTCATTCTCATTATATATCTCTGTCAGTCGTTCGATCTTTCTTTCACATTTGATGCGAATTTCCCGTAAATTTTCCCAGCTTTTGTGTGTGTTGATTTTAAAAAAGTGCTGTAAAAATAGAGGCAGAAACATGGAATAAATCATTTTAAGTTTTTCAAATGTTTCCGTATGCACTCGTTTGCTATTTACTGAGTTTGTCTTTGTTAAAGTTTCTCTTCGTTCCATTCGGTGTCTCTTGTACTTTCTTTCTTTCTCTTTGCCTTCTGTCAGCCACTTGCTCATGTCGGGGCTTAAAAGCATTTCTTTTTCATGGAATTAGTAAAACGCTGAAGAAAAAACTAACGATACATACGTAATTTATTTAAAATGTTTCCGGCGATTTTTTCTCTGCCTCTATTTGCAACGATACGTTTTTTTTTCGACTGCCGACTAACATTTTTTTCTTCTTTTTTCTTTTTGACTCTTTTCAGTATGCGCTGTTACAGATTGTGGTGGAAGCTTGCCAAAAGAAGAGACATTGTAAATTTTTGGCATCGTCACGAACAATGAACAACGATCCATGCCCGGAGACGACCAAATTCATTGAAATTGCATACAAGTGCCGTCCGTGTAAGTAAAGCATACTCATTCATCATGCATATCGTATTGTTAATTTTAATGCACACACACTCACACTAACACTCTAACGCTAATTTCCACTCCATGCCGAAATCCGATTCGTAAGCCGTGTGCCATCGCGCCATCGTCTTTCAATTCGGCATGGAGTCGAAGTTTTGTGTGCGGTCGCTGTGTACGTTTTTTTTCGTTTGCATTATACATCAGTATTGAAAAGTTGGACGAACATATTTTATCTCCGACCATCGAAATGTGTTCACTCTTTTATCATGTTGTGATCGCTTTTTTTATTCGTTTTTTTTATTTCAATATTTTTCCTTTGCCGATTTTCGTTGAAATGTTTTGTGATAGATTGTTTGCATGAAATTATCGATCGATATCGCTTTACATAATTTGCGATGTTGTCAATATCTTTTTTTATTTGAATTTTAATTTATTTGACGTTTCAACGAAACTGTCACCATATTCAAATATTTTGCTCAAAATTTCTTTTGCAGATGTGTTGTGACAAAAAGTGTTTCGACCGATTTTGTTTTTATAGCGTTGTATCATTTTTGACTGCTTCCGGCTTCAATAAATTGCATAATACCAAAAGGTGTGGCAACGCGCCCGACTTCCATTCTAACCGTCTATTCGTTTGTATCCATTTTCATTGAAAATTAAAAGTCACACCTATCTGTTGGCGTTATCCGTTGTCACGTTCGATTGTTTTTCTCTTCCTGTTGTCTCAGCGGTATAGAAGCATATACCATAAATGGCTCAATGTAACATTCTGGATATGCAGAACAATCAGCCAAATTTCATTTCTACGCAAATATAGCGTGTGAAGATTTCATCTATATTTGAAGTGATGTGTGCCGGTGTATGTAAAATGAACTCGATGGTAACATGCCATCGTGTGGTGGCTCAAAACACACACGCTTTTACACATATTGTTTGCCCTTTTCTTCATTACTTTTTTTGCGTACGAATTTTCTAAGCTAAAAGTATTGTAATCTCGCCAAAAAAATATGCATGCAAATCGCTTTGGGTTTCTCACTTTACGATAGTCTTTGTCGTAGTATGAGACATGCACGAAAAGTTAGTCGTACCACAGTAAAATGTTGTATATTTTATTTAAAATCGTAGACAAAATCCCGAGAAAGAAAAAGCTGGAAAACAATGGGAACTCATTCAATTCAAGAAACTTAAGTCATATAATATAATATGCACCATGTGTATTATTGTCCTCGGGGCACTTTTTTCGATTTGTTTTTTCACTTTTATGTTTTTTTCAATATAATGCAAGGAGTGTGGATTTTATTTGTGTAATCAAAAACATCAGGCATATGAAACTAGTGCGCTGAAATAGCGGGAAAAAAACAACAACGTTGTCATTGAAGAAAAGACAGCAAAATAATAAAATCACATAAAAAATACGCACTTTTGAACATCGATGTGTTTCACAACAATGGGATTTTTGGGGATTTTTTTCATTCAAAAAATGTGTGTATTATGATATGTGCCATAGGCCAACAGCAGCAAACAAAGACCAAAATAGATATCTTGTAAGACAAACACATAGAGGGGAAGAGAGAGCAGAGTCATGATTTTTGTAAATATACTCGAAAAAATCAATATTAGGTTTAAGTTTACGTTTAAGTAAACAAACGTATCAAAGAATCTATGAATTCACATGATACTTACCGTACGCCACCATTCAATAGACATTCAAATGATACAATGTATGCCATTTGGTCTGTAGATGGAATGCAGATTTTTTCTTGCGAATTTTCAATTTATAGATTCCTATTTCAATTCAGACATCTTTTTTATATAAACATATCGATCCATTGGCAGTCGATCTGATGATGTACACGAATGACGCAAAATATGATAGTACCGATTCAGAACACAAAATGATAGAATTTCATTCTGAGAACTGTATCGCACCGAAATGAATACAAAGAAAACATCATTCGACCACTTGGTGCATCCATCCTTTTGCTACATTGTCATCTCGGCATGCAATATCATCAAAAGCGTCAACCAAGAGAAAATAACAAATATTAGCCTTTTCTTCTGACTTAAATTCGTCTCCGTTTTGATGACATGGGATTAGTACGTTTGGATGGCAAAAATGTCAAACAAAAATCACAAAGACAGTAAATTGATATCTATCAATTGATAGATAAATAAATAAAATGGAACGAAACAAGCTTGAATGCTGATACCACATAGGAAAAAAGACAAACAAATACTATATTGAAAGATGCCATCTTAAAAGAGAGATGAAGAGCATGAAATAAATTTCATGATACGATGTGTGTTTGTAGTATTCATGAAAAATTGATTACGATATTGAATATTTCATTTGCGAATGGCAAACGTAGTGTGACTTGTGTGTGCAACACATACGGTATACTTTTTTTTCACCGCTCGGGGTGGGTATGCGCGTGTTGATACTTCCCAGTCACTTGGCAACAAATGTTCTATATTATCGAATATATGATAAGAATATTTTCACCATAACAAAGCCGACGGGTGGCAGACAGATGAAAGAGCATATTTTCTCGGTGTACTTTGTGCACAAAGCTCTTTTCATGTGTTGAACATTCTTATCGATCAGAAAATTCGATAAAGAAGCTAATGCTAGGTGTTTTGATATGGTCTAGATTCGACAAAATTGTACAAAGATCCAAACATGTCTACGACCTTTTCGGGAATGTAAACTACAGATAGAACATCATAATATTATCTTATAATGTGCTTACTATTATCCTTGGTCTTATCGTCATTTTGTGTGCCTATGATACATGCACACACGGCTCACACCAAAGTAGCTACCCAATTTTAAGCGTTTCGATATATTCATTGTTGGTCAAAGTCTCCGAACAAAGAAAAAAACATAATCGAGTGTGAAACCATCACAACGCAATCACTTTACAAATTAGCTAGATATACATTTGAATGAAATTCTTAATGGGTTTGACGTCAGATTCATGTCATTCGGGCACATTGAAAATGTTCCATTCAAATGCCGGCTTGTCGGTAAACGATATACATCATAAAACCAACATGCGACACATAATCAATGCCCTTCGAAGAAGTTGGCAAATTGTTGCGATGCTAAATATAATAATTTAATACATCAAATTAATGAAATTTAATATTACGAACAAATAATGAATTTATAGTTAGCATTTTTGCTGAGCTCGATTCTTGAAAATTGTTCGCAGACGTTGTGCCACGGTTCGACAATGAGAATTTTATTCAATGAACACACTTGATTACAGCCATAGAAAATTCATTAATTTTTCAACGATTCCATTTTATTGACGCTTGAAAGAATTCAATTAAATTTTTCAAGAGTCGGTCATTAGCCCAATCTGTAAAATGTTGGCCAATTTCAGATGTTAACGACCCGCCCATCCCTTCCAACCAACATAAAATTCATCTTCACATGAATGGCTTAAATAAAAAGGCAATTTTTGATGTATCAAAGCCCATGAATATGCTCTTTTCAACATCAATTTTCATCAAATTGTATTGGTGTTGGCCTTTGGTAACACACAAAACTGAAGAAGTTTCACTGAGTTGACAGGTTGCGTTGCCAACACCAACATTTTGAACACACACTTTTCATATTTGGGTATTTCTCAGTATTATACGGTTTTTTTTGGGTAATTACAACTTCTGAAAGTGAACGAACGCATGGACGGACGGATACACTCTTTGGTCAACTCAATCGAATTTTACAAATGACAACATTGATTCAATATATATATCGATTTCGATCTACAATTGAATGAATGTCTATCGTCTTCGATTCTCTTTGTGCTGTCGCTTGCAAAGAAACTGTATCAAAAGAAAGTATATTGTTTGTTGCTAATCACATTGATATTTTTGTAGACACAATGTACGACGATGAACAAAACAAAAGACACCAATTTACAGATGTGAACGATGCTCATTTTCAAAACCTGAAATAATAATGGCAATTCAAATGCACAGCATGAATGAAGGGAGAAAGTGTCGTGACTTATACTTTAGCCAAAATCTATGTCGGCTTATGAATCAAGTTCCATGAAAATGAGGAAAATAATTGTGGGCTGTTTTCGTGCAATCATACCATCATTGTGCATAACGGTTGTCTTTCTGTGTGGATATACAGTGTAGTGACAAAGGATGGAGCATATAATGCTTTGCATTTTGTATTATTTTTTTTGGAGACGGGGAATAAATATTGCCATTCATGCAGTAAAGTGTTTTTGTCTCGTTCAATTACTTCATCATCGAAACTACTGCTGCATATCTACGCGCTAAAACTACATACGCTTTTGTGATAAACGATTATTTGTTTATCGAAACAGAAGGCAACACACCATGGAGTATGAAATACAACACTAGACTTCTATACAAACCATCGCCAATAGAGCAGAACAAAAATATACCAGCATGTAACTCCATCGAGATTATGTGGAATGTCTTTATATCGCTGGGCTATAAATGATGATAGAACTGAGAATATAGAGACAGAGTCAAAGGCTGAAAACTGATTTGCACTGAAGTTGCTTCTCAGAATGTAAGCACCACACATTCAGCCCATACATTCAATGCTATAAAGTGTGCATTGTAGTATCAACATTTTCCTGTTCATTGAACAACATTTACATGGAAAGGCTTTACGAACATGTCATACAGTTGATTCTATAAACCATTTATGTGGAAAAGGTTTTGGTGTGATCGAAAAAGAACGACAAAAGCGAAAACCGATTTTCTCTCTATCACTTGGGGGATGTGTGTGTGTGTTTGCAGTCTTTTCGACAAAATAGTCGCAATGGAAATTGGCTTTGTGCTTTGCATACGACACACCTTTTACCCATTGAATAAACACTATAAAAATTGGTTCACGCCATTGTTTCATTTACACAAACCAACTGAACGTTACAACAACATCAACCTGAAAACGTATCCGATTTGCATTAGACACAAAAGAGAAAATGCTACATTCCATTTGAAAAAGCCAACTTATTTCGCACTTGAACAGTTATTTGAATTTTTTTTCTTCTCTTTTTCGACGTTTGTAGACACCACATTTAATCTTACACTGTACACCATCCATTTACATCATACATCAAAGCTATGCTAAACATCAGATTTCTTTTGACGCCATTTAGCTGCTTTGTACAAATCTTGAATGCAAACCAATATACGCTGGGTCGTATGCACAAAAACATGAGATTTGGTTTGATTCAGTTCGATGTGTAGTGTTCTTGTTATAGTAGATTATCGACTAAAACTAGAATGCAGAACATTTTTTTGGAAGCCATTAATTATATTAGCTGAAATATATATACATATATAGAGAGTAAATTTTCGTTTCATTAATTCACAGCGACGTTATACGCTTCATTGAGCAAATTACGCTGAAAATGTTCAAAACTTAAACTATTTCACCTATTTTCAGCACTTTTGCTTGTTTTGTTTAAATAATTTTCAGAAATATTTTGAATATTGATTATCACAAGCAAATATTTTTGGAAGTCAAGTTTTCAATTGTTAATTTATCTACGAACTCATTGGGAAATTCGACGAAAATGAAAATAGTTTATGTTTGTTTAATCATGACGAAAGTCTTCAGTTCGTGGCGAAAGCATCGACAAAATACACACTTGAATTGAGTAATTCATGCACTAGGTCACTATAAAATTGAATCACAACTTGAGATGGAGTGAACCAGAAGAGAGAGAAAGAGAGACAAATTTTTGTGCGAAAGAGAAAGTTGACTCGTTTAACATCCAGTTTTATTGGCAAATATATGTACAAAAGTTGAATAGCTCTCAGTTAGGTGATGCTAAACTATGCTCAATATTAATCCATTGTTTTGAGACGTACGCTGTCGATATTAACACACAAGAACATAAATTTAATGCTACTTTATGGCTTCAGTGGTGTGCTGGAGATTAATTCTTTTCTGCTTGACATTCACATCTCGTTGCACCTATATGTGCTGCTCTTTCTCATCTTCTTCAATTGCCACATGTTAAGTGGCTTCAAGCTATTGATAAACCTATATATTTGTGCGCAAAATGAATAAGGCTTTTGTGTGTTTGCAATGTGTGTGTGTATACGTGTGGAAGTGGTCAACATTGCGATGGTTCAACAGCACTCTCCACACGATATAATTGGGTGATGCTGTTAGTTCATAACAATAATACTTTGATGAGCCAATTAATATAATCGTAAATGTTCGGTCAATTCACTTTAATTATATACTCGAGTGCTATGTTTTCTGTTCTGACATTAATTCCATTGCGTACGAAATGCTCGAGTTGGCTATGTCAAGGTATATATTGTACATTTTCGACTGTAGCCAAAGTATTTCATTTGGACAAAGAATCCTCGTTCGTTCGACCAATGAAAATTACTTTCGATAACTCCATAAATGTAGTTTTTTGCCATTCATTTCAATGTTCACTGCTGATGATGCTATGGTTGCAGCTGTGCCATACCATGTTATCTTGTATTTTTCATTTCGTACAAGTGAAAATATTCAAAAAAATTTCCGAACCATCATCATTACACCGACGAACCTGGAGAACTTTATTAAAAGTAAACAATTTAATGTTTATGGCATTTTCATTACAATATTTTCATTTGCAGACTTTTCAGAAAGAATTTAATTGAAATTGTTGTTGTGTTTAGTGCAAGCCGTACACGAATACTGTGAATGCACACAACCAACATGGATAATGCTTTCATCTGCAGAAAAACACTTTTAAACATTTCGAAACCATATACATTCAAGCGGTTTCTCTCTCTTTTTAAAAATTTAGTTGTAATTTTCATTCTTACCGCTACCATATTGCCAAATAATCTGATTTTATGGAATTTATATTTTTGTCATTATATTTTCAGATGAATTCCGCAGCAAGGTGGCTTGTGAAAATGATACTATTCAATTAGTATGCAATCCGTACTCAAGAATTGCTGTCTATAGGTAATTTAAATATGCTATTCATATAGTTACACATTGACTGTATCATGTTTTTCTCATATTTACAGCGCCAGCTTTGGCCGGACATCATACGAGAGCATTCAATGTTCTCAACCGCAAGGCGTTATGGAGGAATGTAAGTGTTATTATTTGTTTTTTGTTTTGTATAAAGTTTTAGTTCAATGACTTTCTCCGTGGTGTATGGCGGCATCGTCGAGTCGGGTTTTTGTCTTATTTCTCTGAATTTCCAGCGGGGCGCCAAAACATTAACTAAGTGAAATATGTTCGCCATCGAGGTTAATTGAAATTTTACGAACGCAAAACGTGTGAAAAGTGGAAATATTGAATTTTATAATGTTCGTAATAATTTTGAGCATTTGACGGTCATTACATCGTTTTTGCTATCATTCGAATGCTCTTCTATATCGAAAATTGCTTACAATAAACTACAGCACCAAAATGGTTTGGCCAAACGCATGGATGCTGCTGATTTTGTATTCAAACAATGTTCGTGGCAAAGAAATTCAATTAATTTGTCTTTTATTAGATGTTGCAATTCAAACGAAAGCATGGTGTACATCGCTGGAAATGTGTGTTTCGATTTTCTTTTATGTTTATCATATCAACTTTGAAAATTTTAATTAATCATCGTCATCATCATCATTCCGAAAACTTTATAATTAGTTGAAGAGTGTAGATTTGTTCGATGCTGACTTGCTGTATACAGCCTTTCCGGGAATTTTGTCGAATAACATCTAGTTTGTTGTGCATCCAAATTGGTTGATTAGAATCAATTCAATTTTATTAACCGCAAAACCAAATGGTTAAATAAAGCACAGACGTCTTCAATGAAGAAGCTAACAACACCACCACCGCCACCAATGGCACCGTAATCAATGGCAACCACAGCGGCGGCAATGGTAACAGTGTGCAACGTATGGTCGAAACATTTGAAATGCGAAAGTGCAAATAACGAAAATATCATTGCGGTCAATTCATTCGCCATTCGCCCCATTTTACTCTGCAATATTGTATGCAAGAAGTGATTTCTATGTTAAACAATTTCTTGATTTTACGTGCAGTGAAAATCAAAATCGAATGGAGTTTTGGATGTATATGAAAAAAAGAAATAGCACTTACGATGGAAAAGCTAGTGGAGAACAAAATCACTGGCAAATTCAACTAAATGAAAAACATTAAGAGAAAAATCGTTAACTTTGCATTTTGTTCGGTTATTCTCATCCTCATTCGCTCGCACTCTTTTTCACTTGTTCATATGAAAAACCAATGTCATGCGAACATTTTCAATGCTCGTCGGTTTTTTTTGCCCGCCGCACACACACAAATATACTCCATTTTCTCGTATTTTCATTCCATTTAAAAAAATTTGCTCGAAATGGTTGAATAGAGTTGCAAATGCAAGAATGCTGGTGGCTGGGTGCATGAGGCGTTGTGTATTCTATGCTTGATCGCTTTTTCGTATGAGTTTATTATTCAAAGAAAGATAGAGACAGAAAGAACAGGAGAGAGCAAGATAGAGAGGGAGCAAATGTACATGCATGAAAGAATCCAGTACATACACATTGCGCGTCACTTACAAAGTGTTTTTTTTTTCTTCACATTTTCAAGCTAAAATCACTATTTCGTTCCCGCGCTGTTCCTTTCATCATTGAATCGCCGCTTTTGTTGTCTCGAAGCTCTTAACACCAGCCGACAGACGTCTGAAAGTAATGCGCCACAATTTTAAATGAAAAATACTTAAAACGAACAAATTGTTAAAACATGGTTTTGTATTTCATTTCATTTCAATCTCGCTGACGATTTTACATTCTTTTTCTTTTCTCTCTTGCGCTTTTCAAAAACCAAAACGCTGCCATTCCACAGTTTGTATGTGTATGCTTTTTTTCGCTCTCGAATCGTACGGGTTTTTCGTTATCGTTTTCAACGGAGCCGGTGGTTTTAACTTGTGAGTGTGCTTCTCGGTGTACTTTGTTGCGTATGTGGTATATGCTTAAACCAAACACAATATTTTGTGTTTGCATGCATGTATGCATATGAAAGTGCTATGTCGAGCATGCATTTTTCTCGTTGGATAAGACTTATGGTCTTCAAGTTGAATGGTTTAAGTGTGCGGTTTTGCTCCAGTAAGCTTTTAATAAGCTGTGAGTCTTCATTATACTCGAAAGCATTTTACATTTAATTTGGATTGGATTAAGGTCTGCCACTAGCTCTCAGTTCATATATTTTTTTTCTTCCTTTGTTTTCTCTTTCACTTTGTCTGACTTTATCTCTTTCTTACGCATCTTATGTACTTTCTCGTCGTTTTCTCATTTGTTTTTGGTGCGCTCGGCAATGCTTCGCTCTACACATGCTGTGCATTCCCAGCCGTATCAGACGAAATGTTCATTTGTCTTGTGGCCATACGATTTCATGGCGGCATCTTCACGAATAAAACTAGAAGAGAAATGATTTTAAACCACCAAAGCAACCAGCAATAAAAATAAATGGATTTTTGATTAGTTTAAAAACGTGTCTACGTTTTATTATCACTTAGATTTGCATCGTAACATTGCATTCAAATTAAGTTAATAGTCCGTATTTTGCTCCAACGGTAAAATTTGCGCAGATAAATTTTACCAATTTTATACACATTTCGATTGCTTTTATTAGACAATTCATTTTATTCGCAGCTTTTGAACTCACTATACAGCCGATCCCAAACCAAATGGAAAATTCTTTGAAGATGTAATTCGTTATGGTCGTCGTTTGAGTTGCAAAACAAAATAATTAACAGAAATGTCTTTGGTGCTACTTCTAAATTTGTTTTCTTTTTGGTGGCACACAAGAAACAAAAACACAAATATTTTCTTTATCCGATACACAATTCATCCCGTAGGCGAGCACAATTCGTATGCGCAAAATAAAGTGACGAAATTTTGGTCGCGAAAGGTACTAATTAATGTACATTAATTACCTGGGCGAAACAGTGCACGAAAATAATAACAAAAAGTTCACACTTTGTTTTGCTAAAGCTCCATTCACTTCGGAAGCATAACAGGCGCTCACAAATTATGATGCGAGTAAAATCAAATATTCATTATATTTTCGCCGTTTCAGCCTGATAGCAGAAGCGCATGAAAATGAAATGTTATGTCGTTATGTTGTGATAAACAAAAAATGAAATTAATGATACTACAACGAACCAAGTAAACAGCCAAAAATTATTCTACGCTAAATTAACATCAAATTGAATTATGTATTTTAAAAAGATTACGAAAAAAAAAATTGACGAAAAGATGCAAAACAGAGAGGAAGAGAGAATCTCACACTACAAATGAATTTTGCAGAGTATGATCGCATAAACAGGAGATGCACGAGACGAACGATAAATATTCATCGAGTTTCCGTTCATTTCACCGTGACTATATTTTATTAATTATATTTACTTTAAAATTCTCATTTTAATTTTTCGATATGGTCCATGCTGCGCGTGTCTCTGGATCTAACTTTCTTGTTCGCTTTCACCACAAATACCGGTGATCATCATTGAAATATTTCTTTTTTTATATCTTTATCCTCGGCCGTTAAAAAGAAAGAGTTTCACGAAGAAAAGACATTGAACACAGCAGAAAATCACATGAAACAACACCAAAGTTTATTTAAAGATGTCATTTGCCGGGGGATATGTGTCATAAACAACCAATGAATGGTAACTTTTCATAAGAAATTACCAAAAATTGGGCACCTTCATCGTTCAAGTCTAAGCTGACATTCAACACAGGTTTCGAAAGAACACTTTATATAGTTCATACACTCCTACGAATCAGTTGTTTGTGTTCAAGCATCTATAAGATAAGATATTATCGATAATATTCATGCCGAATATGCATCTTTATGCTCCGCTTCATTTTTTTTTGTAAAACCTTTAAAATTTTATCTTCACTTAACGTACGAATTTTGCTATTATTTATTTATCAAAATACCGTAACGCAAATACTGATTTTTCCCATCGTTTGCATAAATGCACATAAATTATATATATGGTCGCGGTTTGTTTTAAAAGTTTCTCTTTCTTCTGCCGACGAAGTTTCTGTATGTTTTACATATTTTTCCAAAGTGTTTTTTTGTGTTTGGCTCACATGTGTGCATAATACAAGTATAATAAAAAATATAAATAACTCATCTATCTAATTGTATATTCTATTTCACGTGCATCTTGAAATTCTTCCAAATTCCGGGAAACGCCAATTTGTAGTGAGATTGTTGAGCCGAGATTGCAAGAGTTGTATTTTGTTTATGTGTCAAATATTTCGAATAAGTTTTGTTTGTATTTATCGTCGTCTACATTTTATTTGCCTATGCGTACATTGAACATAATTTGTTTCGATAAAAAAAAATGTTCGGCAAGAGTAATTTCATTACCAAAGTGCACCCATTTCATCTGCAATCAAAATATAACGGAACGAGGTTAACAACGCTTGTAAACTCAAAGAGAACCGTAACTTTTAAACTTTTATCGCCAACAAATGTCGCCTATGTTTTGATGCATTTCAGTCTCGGGGCGAAAATGTTGCACCATGAGCAATTCGCTCTGAGACAGTTGAATTTCAACATAAAAGAATCCATTCATACGTATATGTAGATGAAAACGTTTAAAAAAACGAGCGATGTAAAAAAAAAACATAGAGGGAGAGAGAGCATGCACATCAAATTGCCGAAAAAAGCTAAAACAGCAACAAATAAACGGAGGACACAATGTTGCCATCTTTTTACATGCAAGCAAAACAGAAACGATTTTATGCTTAAAAGTACGGAAATTGTTTGCTCTTTTACAACATTTCTCATGAAAACATCCATAGATTGAACAAAGTTTTCGGCTGAAGCGAAATATTTGACGTCGCAAATAATTCGCATTCCAATAATCAGAGCATTAAAATATATAATTTGAAAGTTGATGATCATTTCAATCAAACTCATCATTTCGTGTCGTGAAAAGTTTTCGTTTCGCAAAGTTTTGTGTTCACTTAAAACTTGTACATTAGAAACATCTTAATTAACGTCATATGTTTAAATGGAAATGCATTTTTGATTTAAATGAAATAGCAAAGGGCGAACGCAAGCGGGTGAACGAATGAAGGACATTTTCTATTTTAAAAATGTAAGTTACATCGCCATCGGTCACACCATTGAAAAAGTGAAGCGTTCATACTTTGTTCTGTGTACTTTTTTTCTTCGAATGTGTTCAATTCACATTTGTTTAAAATCAACTCATCTCTAATTTGACGCGAACGAATGGTCAGCCATCTGCTTGCGTCTTTATTTAACATTTATGGCCACATTCGTTACGGTTCCCTCCGGTTGATTTTATGCTTTTGCATTGAAGCGTGTCTCTTACTTTCTATGTATTTTTCATTTCAAACACACCACGCGCGCGTCAGCTCGCGCACATGCCATCAACGGAGTATAAATGAGAAGAGAGAGAAAGAGAAAAAAAGTGCACTCCAAATCGAAACAAAAAAAAAGTACCCGATAAGAATTTAATGATAATGAAAACAGAGCAAAAGAATAAATAGTTTTAAAGAAAAAAAAACGAGTGGAAAACATTAAAAGAACAAGCGTTGCAAGCAATGGAACAATAGCAACGCACAACTTCATTAGGATATTTCAAAGAACAGCGCAAAGTTAATCTTTATTCCCTGAATGTAAAGCAATGAAATGAAATAACGCACGAGCGCGGTGTGGGCGAAGCGAAAAAAAAGTACGACGAACAAGTTGAGAAGAAAAGTTTGCACTTTGTTTAGTGCTCGTAGTGTAGCAAATGAGAGAAAGACAGAGAGCGACCGAGTGAGCGGATGAGAAAAACGGACAAAATGGCATCAACTGGCACACAGGCAAAATATTATGCGAAACAAGCGCAAAGCGAAACAATGCAACGACGACGAAAAGAAATGAACGAAAAAGAAAGAAAAGAATGTGTGCAATGGACGAAACAAAAAACCCCAACGGCTGAAAATTGTATCACAAGAAACGAATAAATACAAGTGAAATAGACAAACGGGAGCAAAGTTGCTGGGAACAAAAAATAAACAATATAATACAGCTTCTGTTAAAACGAGAGGAAAAAAACTACAGAACATGAACAAACCAGTTCAAAGTAGAAAGAGAAGCAAAAAATACTCTTGAACGTATATCTAAATAAAATCATCATCGCTGAGATGTGCCATCGAAGTGGAAGTTTGTTAGAAGCAATGAGAAGAAAAAAAATAACAAGAGGAGAAACGAATCAAACGAAGAATGCCTTTATGCCTGACCATGCGTTTGTTGCACATTGCAAGCAAAACACTTGACGAAGCGCCGCTATAAAACTATAGTTATTCGTTTATTATTTGCTTTTCGAACTGGGTGCAACATGCATCACCGTGGATGTTGCTGTTGGTGTTGTCGCTGCTGTTGTTATTTTGTTCGGAACAAATATAAAGATTTTTAACATTCCAACGAGTGCAATTGCATTGAAAAAAATGACAAAAGAAATGTCATAAATATAAATAAAAAGTATTTGGTCGGTGGTGGTGCTGTCGCTGCCGAGACACCAACATAACTTCTTTGTTGTAAATTTGATGAAGAAGAATGCAGTTCGGTCAACATAGCAACACAATGCAACCAGACAAATGTGACCGAGTCAAAGTGAAACTGTTCAATGATTTGGTGCATTTCATAAGGATTTCGTTGTCATTTGGTCAATGAAGTCTTTTTTTTGCTCATTTTCCGGTCTTTGATATTTGTTATCATCATCATTTCTTGTTATTCAGTTTTTCTTTCAAAAACTCTTTTAGTAAATTTGCACTGGGCCACATTACATGCGACCCGAGCAATCCCACACACAATCCAAAATTTTACATGCTTTTCTTTTTGTTTGGTTTTGTTTATGGTTGAGCAAGTCCTTTTTCGTCTTAAGTGATGAATGAGTGAAGTGAAATTGTACAGTGTTTTAACTCTTTTGCCATTGTTCTATATCACTATTTGTTATCATTTTCCATTTTATTTATTTAACGCATTTATTTCGATACTTGTTCTCGTTTTGATTTCTTTTCTTGCATTCTTTTTCGTTTATTCTTTCACATTTCTCTATCACACAAAAACAAACATTGAGATCTTTATTGGTTTACATCCGAATGAAGATGTTGTGCACACAAAACAAGAGATACGATACTTATGTCAAACCCAAAGATAAATAAAAAAAGCAGTAGCAGCAACAATGACAAGAGGTTCTAAAGAACAATTCAAGTGGTGAAAAAAGTGAACGCAGAACGAAGTGAAAAAAGGAAACAACGAAATTTCATTCGACGAAGAAAAATAAATTCATCTTTGTGTGTGTGTGCCTCGGTATTTGAGCTTCCGCCGTTTACTTTTTCCATTATCGTACGTTCAACGCTCGTTTTGCCTGTTTGTTTTGGGTATTTTTGCTCGCTATTTTCACTCTCTCGCTCACACACACACACTCAAGTCAAGAAACGAAAAGAAAAGTAATACAAATACACTGCACATTCGCCAGAAATTGGTAGATTTGTGGAACAGTTGCAATGGAAATTGAAAGATTTTCGCTTCTACTGTGTTTTTTTTTTTATTTCACTCGTTGATTGTTTTGCTGATCATTGAATTCACAACTGGGATTTTCATCGAAATGTTCAAGCGGGGAGAGAAAAACAACGAAAACAAAAAACAAATTGCAAAAATGCGCTCATACACGAGCACATACAAATTCACCTCGAAAAACAGTACATGGACTGGGTGCAAACATTGGGAAAAAAAGAGAGCGAGAAATCGACACACAGAGAGAGATAGAGAGAAAAATTAAACAATTGAAGCCAATTGAATTCTACTTGATGTGATTGTGCTTTGTGCATGTTTCACGTGTGTGCAACCGAACAAAATTGCTTTTTCATATAAGTTCAATCGTTTTCTGTGCACACTTTTTTTTATTTCGTTGTCGGCTCGAACAGCATTTAGGTATTCGTAACAAAAGGAAATATAACACTTATTCCTTTTTCATGTTTTCGTCCGTCGTTTCATTCAATAAATTTCCCGTTGAAATCGATGTTTTTTTTGTGTTTGTGTATGTGTTAGTCTATTTTTTGTCGCTTTGCCACCAACATATAAAGGAGATTTTTGAATTGAGTTTTTTCCTTCAATCGTTTTGAGCCATTCTCATGAATCAATTGATTGGCTTGTTATATTTCCTGGTTCTTTTGTGAAATAAATTTTCTTTTGATTAAAGCGATTAGTTTGCGATTGTTCAAGCCAAGAAAACTCATTGATGCTTTAATTCAAACTCATGTTCGATTCTTTTGAAAATTAATTACAGCTTGTTTGGCTTCATATGGAACCGAGACTGTTATGCAATTGTGCCACGGAAGGAGAAGGTGTACCATATCGGCCGATCGTGCAAATTTTGGCAATCCATGCCGACCCGAATCTAGAGTCTATCTCAAAGTCGTTTACACCTGCAGTAAGTATTGCGAAACGAATATTCAATATGTAATTTTAAAAAAAAAATATGAACGTAATCATTGCTTTTATGAAAGCATAAAAAAATTAATTCAATTACTTGATTGAATAATAATCGTTAAATAAATTTCATTGAAATCTCATCAAAAATGAATGTAATTAATATAAATTGTGTTTTTTTCAGTACCGCGAAAAGTATTAAAGGATCAATTTGATGCATCGGTTGAGCCAGATGAACCGCAACAAATTGATATGGATCAAAATCAAGATGATTTATATGATGAAGATCAATTTTATCGTGAATCAGAGGCAATACCGCCGGCACCGAAGCTACATCGTGAATTGGCCACATCATCGGATATGCCAACCTCATTAAGTGAACCGTCGTCCAGTGTAAATCCACCATTGCGGTCGAGAGACAGCAATCAACTTGAAGGTATGATATTTGCACCCATTTTTCGCAATTTTTTTTTAGTCTCACAAAGTCGATGTTGTATAGCAAGCTTTTTGATAGAGGCCTAACGATAGGTGTTGCAAATGTACTATATATTGTAAATAATCTCGGTCATGGCCTCCTACTTTAACTCTAACCTATTTTCATATTCAGGAGCTTTCAATTGAAACAATTGAACAAGTTTATTGTACAAGTTTTTAAAATTGAAATTAACAACAGTTGTTCGATAGAAATCCCGGGATATTTGTATAATAAAAAAAACTAGGCCACGAATCTGATTAATTTAATCGATGTACGCGAACCTATCAATTGATTACATTTTTTACTCCCACTTCCACGATCCGAGAAATTACCAATATGTGTTTCAACAACAACAAAAAATTGACCTGTTTCGTTGACAAATAAAAATGTTTGGTTAGGTAATTTGTAATATTTAAAATATAAAAAAAAATTAATATGAATGACTCGAAGTGCAGTTATTGGAAATACCAAAAAGAAAAAAGCGAACATATGTAAATAGTTAAAATTTTTGTTAGTTGAACTTCACTTAAAAAGTGATTTTAATACCGATTTTTCCCGGTATCGACTGGGATGTGAAGCATTGTGTATTTTTTAATGAAAAATAAAACAGAAGACAGGGAAAAAACCACCGGCATGTGTACTCACACTCACACCACATATGCGAAATGGGTGTAATTTAACAGCACGATACGCTTACAATGGGACATTATCGACCGAATGTACACATTGCTCTGGGCAAATGTTGAAAGACAAAAAAAAATGATTATCATAAATTAAACAAGTAGCAGTACTTCATTACAAATTAAAAATTGCAACCAGATCCATGTTTTAAATACATATTCGATTTTTTTAAATTTCCTCAAGAGAAACGGATCCACATTTTACAATCGTAATAAAACACAATAATACTCTAATTAGCACTCAATATATTTCTCGCTCACATTCTGTTTATAATTATCACAAGCGCTCTTTTTTTTTGTTCATCCAAATCCGTTTCACACAGAACATACATTTTATGGATAATTAAATTTTGTGTTTACATTCATTCATATGAAATGATGAAAAACTATCACCACGGATTTTTCATTTTATTTTATTTTTTGTTCGTCTATTTGAATGGAACTGGAGAAAATCAGTTATTGAATAAAAATGTTAAATACATTTATTTTCAGCGCAACAGAACATTTGTAATCAAATAGGAAAAGTGAATGCACGCGGGCGTGTTTTCAGTCGATACAATTATCTGTGTAAAATTGCTCATAGACTTAGTAAAAATTGAAGAAGTATTTCTTGGAGAGTGAGAATCAATTTCAGATATTCATCTCATTCAGAGATGCGTAATGTATATAAACAACCGCTAATGCATCACAAAGTTTTAATTACTATTAGATACTAAGTAGCTAGCTAAATAGGATATGAAAGGCCCGTTATAATAGATACAGCTAACCACATAGTTCCTGAATCAATTTCACATGAGAAAATCGCATGAACTCAAATGCAAAAATTTACCGTACTCAAATAATAATAATAATAACTGCAACAACAAGCATGCATTAAGCGTATGATATTTAGTTCGCTAAATCGGTCTAATATTAGCTAGAGCTAAATTATATTATGTTACAATGTTTTATCAAAATCGGTGAAGTGAATCGATACGTGCGAAGCGATATCAAATGACAGTGAAATTTGAATGCATCTTGCTGAGCAGATTGGTTAATAATAAACATATTCGATGTTTGTGTGTGCGTATGCGAGCATGGCAATAAACTACGTGGCAATGACTACGAAAATTAGATGCGGATCCATTTTCCAAACTATGCATAAATACATTGGCTGTCACAATTTTAGCGTGTATGCGTGTGAGTGGGTGCTCGAGAAGATTATGAGGCAACCAGGTATATGTGCCTATGACTTTGCACAATTTAAATATGTATATTCGCCTATTTTCGCATGGATTGCTATGGCTGTTGTAACGATGAAATAGTGCACGAGATATTGTAGAATGGTTCAAAAATGGAACTATAAATACTTGATTCAAAATCACATTCCAAGTTCTTTGGCGCTTTGTAAGGCAATGCATGCGTCTACTGTGCACGGCATAACAAATGGATTTTTATTTCTTTTTGCATTGTCAAAGCCAAAGAATTTACATTTTCTCTGATTTTTGGGGCGAATGAGTGTGTGTGTTTGTGTGTATGGGTTAGTGAAAACGGTGAGTGTGTATGCGATAAATGTTTGGAGTGATATTTCATGATTGTATATTAGACGACATTATTGTAATCCTGGAATAACTTACCGTATAATGGCATGAAATAAGTTTATTCAGTTGAGAGAGAAAACGAGCGAAAGTGAGTGAGTGAGGGAGAGCGAACATGAGAGAAAATTCATAAGCGGTCATGTGTCCAAATTGGTACCGACCATACATTTCTGACATAGAATAATATCAACCGAAAACCATGACCGTGCTTTCTCACTGTGTTAAACGACTGCACATTCAATGTTAGTACTACTTGTATACACCAAACGAGCACACAGTTGGTTGAAACGATATCTCTTTCACTCATACAGTAATTTAAAACCCCTAATGGAGTGTTGCACTAAACCTTAAAATGCAATTGCACGCAACGAATAACCGAGTTATAGAGAAAATTCGTGACCACTTTCAAAACACACGATGATTCTCACTTTAGGAAGTAATATTTGTGTGTTTGTATGCCAAAATGCGACTAATGAAAATCATCATCGCATAAATATTTTCATACATTGAGATGTGTGTATAGATTGACACACATTCTAATGATGTTTCTTATTCCATGTGCACCATTCGCACTTCCTCACACGCACACACGCACACATGCAAACATTGAGTAGCTGCAATTGAAATTTTTGAATGGAATGTCGCGCATTGAATCGAAATTCGAATATTTAGCTTTCTCTTTTTCACACGGAAGAGGAAAACGAGAAACAAGTCCGAGAATTATTTGCGGAATTGTGCGGAATTGCAAACATCGTTGACACAATGACATATAATCGCCATGCCAAATCCATTCGCATACATATTCGCTCGTCCAATAATCTTACCATATGGAATAACAACGAAAGCATACAATAGCCTACATTGGTTTCCGGCGCCGTCCATGAGTATGTGTGTGTCTCTATCTGTATTTATATACTATATATGCGAAGTACAACAATCAAAATAAATGCTTGGAATTCTCTCTACAGAAAATTATGACTGCCTTTCAAACGCATATCCACTTGAGCTATGATTGCAATCACCGATGGTCGCATTTTGTATGGATGTTATGTATGCAAGCATTTTAACTACATTTTCCTACCTCAAAGCGAGAACATTATCCATTTCGAGCGACGCAATCCATTTTACAACGTCTCGGTCAATGCATTCGATAACAGAAATCTACTCGAATATTTATTACGTACAATCTACACATGTGACGGATTGACATGGGGGATGGGTAAATGGTACATTTGATACACCAAACACATGCAAATATCATTATCAGTTATTGTTCATCATTTGAACATACTTCAGCCAAGATGTGATATTGATTATTAGTTGAATCGGGTTTTGGAAGATTTTTCGTATCATTAATTCAGACATTTAAACAAATTCACATTCTAAATGAAGAGTGAACCATTAACGGGATGTAAACATGATTTGAATGCATGTTTAATTAATATTAAACATCTGCATATCTATCTCTCGTGCCCTCTCGTTTCGGTCGGAATTTTAAGCACTTTGTTGGCCAAGCGTATCGGAGAACGGTGTGCCAGTGATATGGCTATGTTTTGTTAGATACCAAATCAAATATATCCGCTTTTATTTAGTCGATCACAACCGATACAGCACAAAAAGCAGCACAGCGTAAATCAACTCACAATTTTACACACGCACACAATGCCTTCAGTCAAACAGCACCACAAATCATTGTATTCTATCACACGACCTCTTTTCCTCTCTCTCTCTCTCTCTCTCTCTCTCTCTCTCTCTATCTCTTCATTTTTTTAATTTCATTGTTTTCAACCATTCAAATCTCATTTCAAACCGCTTCTAAATTCGAAACACAAAACGACTTTATAAATGTTTTAAACGCATCGTTTTTTTTTCTTTAATAAACATGTATCCCAAAGAGAATGGAATTTACATTTTTTTGTTTTTAATCCAATATTCCAACATTATTGTTTTCGCAGTGCCCTTTGTTAATCCAAACTCACATTCAAAACACGATCATGATCATACATTAAACCAACCAACAATGCAAAATATGACCTCAACGGATATCGAAGCTATAGGTCGCTCAATCAATCATAACAATGCGTTTCATAATGGTGGTGACGCCAACGCTTCTGCTTTTGATGCTGCTGGTGGTGGTGGTGGTGGTGCCACCGTTGCAACATACATTTCTAGTAATAGTAACATTCAAACGAACACAAACAGCATATTTATGCCGGCTTCTACGTCGAAGTATCCAATCAAACAAAGCACAATTGCCGAGGATTTCCGTGAACGTTTCATAAACATTATAGCCCAATGGATAAGAGCAGTTGTTTACTTAGCACGTAAGTGATTGATATGGTTTCAATGTAAAAGCAAAACATATGAACCGCAACACAGTGTACACAGTAGAAAATTAAATGTAATTACGTGCAAGGAATAGTGCTGATACCGTAAAATCATTATATGTAACCGCAAGGCATATTTTGCTAAATTAACTCAATATAGTTTAGTGAATTCGATAGATTTTCCCAGTCATAAATAGAAATTAGCTCGCTCTGGTCAAAACTATGAAATAATAAACAACTTATGGAAAGATTTAATAAGCAAGTTGTCTGATTTTCCTTGAATTCGTCTAGGGCATACTATATAGAAAATTAATGTTTCGAATAAATTTTAAATATTGCGGATTCATATCACAAAGATGTCATCTTTCGAGAAAAAAAATGACACCCAAGCAAAAAAACGAACAAATTGCAAATTCCACATTCTAATAATCTACATTCACGTTTTTCTTCTTTTTCTCTCTCCTTTTTTTGCAGAAAACCAAGAGAAGTTCTTTTTGTATTTGTTCATATCGGTAACAGTTGGTGTGTTACTGTGTTTAACGCTTGTGATTGGACGATTGGTGTTACAAAAACGGCAAATAAAATCCGATAAAAAATCATCGCCGAAAAATCAATCGCAAAATGGCGGTAACACCAGTGAAACAACCATACCGAATGGATTTTCCGACGATATATCTGAAATTGATGGTGATATCGACATGACAACAACAACACTTCCTGTACCGAGTGTGTCACGCAACGAGGTAAGTTCGACACATATAGTCTCAGGTTTTCTCTATCGAATTTATTTATCGTGTACGGCATGACAGGGAAGACGAACGCCGTAATTAAATGACGAACTTTGTGAAATGCATGTCATAAACATACATCATAAAATATCGTATCAGATGATGTTAATTCACATTTAATCTCATTCAAAAATATTCCAACATATATTTCATTCGGCTTTCTTTTATCGACTTTTCGCATAAAACGTTTATATGTGTTTTTGTGAACTGATACAGTTACTTGTAGCACATTTTTTTCTGAACCTCATCGATTTTATAGTAACAAAACCACACTGATAACATCTGATGATATTTTACGCACGAATTGACACTTTCTGATCTATGCGGGCGCAGAGAAGATGGATTTTAATTTGATTTTACTTCCCGTTCACTTCATTTTCACCGACAAAGCAGATTTTACAATACCGGAAACCCCCTTGATTATCTCCTTTTCTTTAATAAAGTCTACAAACCCGGCACACTGAATTCTCAAGTACATTACTTCATAAAATAGAGATGTTTCGTTGAACATAAAAAATTGGTTTGGCTTTGCGATGAAAAATGTCATAATCGATATTTAAAAAAAAAAAATTTCTTACAAAAGCTTTTATGTGGTAACTGCTCATTTGGTATTTTGTCCAGAATTTGATTATACCGCAAGGGGGCCTATTTTTCCTTTTTTTTTTGCATAAATTCAATACAAATTCCGACGTACCTTGGCCCTATTATTGTTATCTTAAACCAATCTCCATGCATCTCTTTTTTACTCACATTATGTCAACTCGAACCCATTTCAGTGAAATACACAATCACACAAGGCGCGTTTTGTCGACCCGACAAAATAAAAAAAGAAATGAATGTGATGCGAAACAAAGCAAAATAGAGAAAGAAAAAAATATAAGTACCGCATGACATGAATCCAGTATTTGACAATCCAAATTTCTTATCATTTGGTAGGCCACCCTTGAGCGAAATATTTGATGTGCTTTCATTTTTATGCCTTTTCAAATATTTCTTGTCGCGTTTCGATTGTATGGCGCTTTTTTTCTTCGTCATTTTTTCACCTCTTTTCGGTTCATCGAATTTCGTCGAATCCCGTTTTTACCTTCGTGACATACAAAACATCCGCACCCATTATTATGAACATGGTACTCTGTTTTTTCTTCTTTTTTTCGCCAATTGTCCTCATTTCAATACGATACAAATGCACACAATATTGCAAAATAAATGCAGACAAAATGTACAAAACGAAGTAAAAAGAGATATGAAGTAAAATATTGTTATGAAACCCTTGTAAAGCGTTACACGAGCTTTATCAATCAATTCCGATGTCAGAGTTTTCGATTCTTTTGTATGCTCGTTGCCTCTTCATTGATTCCATTCAATGGAATTCCAATTTGTGAGTTTGTATTAAAGTAAGACTCTTTTGGAGGGTATTGTTTACATGGCAATATGGAAAACTATTTCAAAAACATTTCACAAAAGTCAAACTGATATAAAAACTGCTTTAATGCCCATCTTAATGCTATGGGAATTTTTATTTCTTCGGTTGGCTATCTAAAGGGGAATTTTCATCAGGAATTCCGTTCTATAATGTCAATTTAATCAAAAACTATGGAAAATATTCCATCCGATTCGATGTGATGCTGAGTGAAAACATAAATCTTGAATATGACAATTAAATAGGGCTATTTGTATTGCAGCATTACTTTCGATGACATTGATTGGCATTCATTTGATATATGTATATGTTATGGTTAAATATGATACAGTAAATAAATATAAACTTGATTTGTTTTTCAGCCAAACTACGGTTCGTATGCTCCATCACCGAGTCCCTACAGCAATCTCGGTCCGTCAAACATATCACACACGTCAACCACAATGTTAGTGCCAACCAGTTCGATTTTGACCACCGGACATCATGTTCCATCGATAATTGGATCAGCCAATCCTTTGATGTATCCGCCACCATCAGTTGCACATATGGGTAAATATATAAATTTTCCATATTTTTTTCTCTCTCTCGCTCTATGTTTATATTCAAGACACTCAACAGCTAGAATTTATTTTTATGACACCTCTGGCTACGTACTCTACACGCTTATCTTAATATAAGTGAAGATGCGTTAATTAAATTAAACGTTAATCAATTTTGATGACCTATTTTCATAATTTTTCTTGCGTAGAGATTTAATAACTGAGCGCAAGAGAAAATGTGAAAATTATTAGGGTCATACTAATAGATTGTTAACAGGCACATGTAAAAATAAACGCAATATGTTTCAGTCACGAACCGTCGACTACCACATCGAATAAATCTCATTCATGCAAGAAATATATAGCTTATAAAAAAAGAAGAAGATGTGAACACACCCAATCTTGTTCTAAAGATGTATTGCTTTTTTAGATGGATTGTCTTTTGGAAATACACGTGCATTGGTCACCATATGAATAAGATGTATTTTTGTTTTTTCTTATATTGTTTTGTTGACCACCATTTATATTTTGTATACGCACGTCTAGGTCCGAGATTGACAACAAATTATCCACCAACTGTCGGCTTTATGAATCCATCAATATTGACCGCTGGAGGCACACTACGTCGTCCACGCGTCGAATATGATTCGGCTCCACCACGTATCCTCTCGAAAATTGACATTGAACCGCAATTCTATTACGGATGACCTTTATTGAGTAACAAAATGTTATCATCACCGACAACAAGCGATGCCGCCGGACTCGGCACCAACACCACCACATCGTCGCCGAAAACTACTATGAATACAATAGCCATGCAAAATATCGAACGAACCGGCACACCAACATTGTCAATATCAACAACATCACCGACATCGACGTTGACCAAAAAACTGCCACCAAAAAATCCATTGACCGAAGATCAGCGTTCGAATAAAAATACCGTTGTACTTTGTCCACCTAGTCGTACATATTGTTTCTAGAATCAAATCATTTTGCAGAAAAATAATCTGCAATTCGATGACTTAGTGTTTTTGTAAAGATTTTTTCTGCCCCATTATTTCGTTTCTACTCTACTTAAAAAATAAATTCACAAATAAAAAGCACATATATTCATTACAATTGCTTTCTGAGTTGATGATATAACTGAGTTTTCAAGCATTCTACTGACACAATTGACATCATGGCATACCATGCAGTGCAATTTTTCATTTTGAAAATAGAAGCGGACTTCTCTTCAGCAGATTAAAAAAAAATGAGAAAAAAATGAAAGAAAAAAAGCATATTGTCGAATATATTTCTTTAATAATCTTAAGTGATACACCGTGTACATTTTTTTTCGGGATAATTTCGAAAGACTTTTACGTAAATTAGGTTAATTTAAGGAATCAAACTAGAAAACTTCTTGTAAATGAGATATTTATTTAATAAGTTAATGAAAAGCGAGTTAAATAGCTGAAGAAAAAAAGTAAAATAAAGTTATATACAATTTAAGGGTATAAGTAGAGAGAAATTACGTTAAGCTATCAAGAAGAAAAAGAAGAAGGTACCAGATGAGAAATTTTTTATGTGAGAGCATAGACAGACGAAATTCATTTGTTCAGGCAAATGTTGAAGATATATATTGCATTTTGCGACAGCAGCGGCAAAACACAATAAGATACCATAACAATTAAGAAAGCTGTCATTTGATGAAAATTAATATAATGAATATATTTGATTGCACTTAACACATGCACTCCTGATTAATATATACACTCTATAAACTACAATACATAAACTTAATAATTAAACAATAAATGAGAATTTTGAGAGATCGAGCGCTTACGCACTCAGCACATCTGCAGAAAATCGAAAATGTGTATATGTGTTAGGCGTTTTTAATTGTTTAAGCGAACAGGGTAGTGTGTGAGAATAAGAATATATATGAGAATGCGAACATAAATCAAATCTCTAACTTTAAAGAGTGAGCAATCAATCAAGTTGAAAAGTTTCGTTTATATTTTTTGATTTGTGCGCATTTCATTGTGATTTTATAAGCGACGGGGCAGGGGATGGGCGGTGTATGAACTAAAGGCACAGAATGTAAAGGGGAAATGTCGTCAAGTTTTTCCGTTTCTCAAATCTTCATCTATAATAGTTTCTTATCTTCCGGTTGTTACAAATGTTCGGCGACGACGGCGACAGTAATGGCGGCAACTTGAAAACGATTCGCCAAAGATTTATGAAAAGTCACACAAATAAAAATAAAATTTTTGCAAAATGCGCAAAGTTTTCTGAGCGTTCAAAGAAGAGAAAAACGTATACTTTCAAGTTGTGGAAACCACTTCGCTGTCGGAATGAAGAAGATGCAACCAAATGAATGCATAAATTTAAATTTCCACTGGGACGAAGTAAGAAATCAGTTGTCGTCGATGTTCGCTTCGCAGTTGATTTCACGGATGGGAAGAAAATCTTTAAAAATAGATCTAGTTGGAATAAAATAAATCAAGTTTATTACTTTTGATGTGAGTGCGAGAACAAAAAAAAAGGAACAAAAAACGAAGAAACCATTTCATTACAAACAAAAAAAAAGAATTTTTTTAAAAGAAAACACAGGTGCAGATATTCGCTGCATTTTCATTGTACATTCTAACACAATCTATATTGTTCTGTTTTCCTTTTCCACAGCTGTACACTCAAATGATGTCAGCTAAAGAATACATAGAATTTTACCAAAAAATAAATGAATAAAAACAAGTTTTATTGTAGTTAAATAAAGAAGAATAATAATAATAAATAAAATATATATATATATACATGGGATACAGCAAATGAAGAAAATCTATACGTATATTCGAAACTGCATAGTAAATTAAAATACTTTGAATGTGATTGATTGTTGTTGGGGATACAAATTTCAAACTTTGATAAATCGGATTTTTTTAGCAGATGGTCGATGGATTTCGATGTACTCTCTATTCAATCGAAATACGCATAATCGATACGACACCTATTGATTGTCTCTACATCGACCCCATTTCACATACACTAAATCGAATAGCGAAATATATTGAATTCCAATTTATGGCCACAAAATATGGAAATACGGAAAATATGGAATGTTCGTCATCATTCAATGGATCATCTATTATTACCTACCTGTTATATGGAATGCAATAATCACCTGAGGTGTTAAAGTGACCTCAATATTCATAATAATTTGTGAGAGACCATGGAATAAATGGAAGAAAAATTGCATTAATCACACACACACACACACATTTACACTTCACACGTATTCACGGTGAAAATGTCTATTTACGTGAAATATAGTTAAAACAAACGCATTCTAGCTAATAAGGATTTAGAGCAAACTCTTTGAAAGCAGAAATCAAATATTTAAATTAAAAAATAAATAAAACTACTATAATTCACCTTCAATGGTTAATTGATGTAAATTCAAGATGATAACGTTTAACTATGTAATAAAAAAAACTTTATTTTTCATTTTAAGAGAAAAAAAAACTAATATGTTTATGCGTTTAGTTAATTTATATATAAAAAAAAAATTGAATTGATTTGAAAAAAAAATCGATGTTTGAACCAAGAGAGAGAGGGATATTGAAAACTTATGGTAATTTTACTGTTTGTTTGCGTATTTGTATGCAAATGTTTGCGATCTTATCGATTTCGTAATTATAATTAGATTTCAGCATGCTTTGAAAGTCTAGGACTTTCACACCCCAACAATGGGTGGATGGTATACAAAAAATTGTAATCTTTCATTTCAATGAGAAATTATATCGGCCGCACGAACGGAACAATAATGAATTATCAAAACGATTCTGAAATCGAATTATAAACAACAAATGGTTTGTCAAAACTCATTTCGCCAACATTCTTTTTCTATTTTCCAGATTACACATTCGTCGCAAGCATTGACGTACAACTACCACGCCATCCCTCTCTTTTTTCACATTTCTGATTTACTGTTTTTTTTTTAAAACAAATTCATTGATGAAAAAAAGTATATTTACACGTGACATTTAAACAAACAAAAATTCAAATAAAATGGATATTTGAATACCATATAAATTAAAATTTAAATGAAATCACAAAAACAAACACACAGATGATACTATATATATACACACATAAATTACAGTAATATTGTTACATTAAAATCGACGAATAAAATCAAATGTTTTCTATAAAAGTGTAAAATTGAATGTTTGGAATGTTTGTTATTATTTGATTTTTGATTTGAAAATAGCAATGCGAACGGGTCAAAGAGCTATAAAATCGACAATCAACCGAAAGACGCGTGTACAAATGAAATTGTGCTATTTTTATAGCAGTCTCGTACTCATTCGCTGCTTGGCTACGCCTGAGTTAAATGGTAAATGTATGCAAAGAGGATGGATTGAGATCATGTCATGTAAGTATTAAAATTGTAATTCCAAGCATGCCTTAGACAATTGGATTCGAAAAAAACGGAAACGATTGACAGCATTTATGTATGAAATGCGTAATCGAATTGATACTGTCATTGCATTGAAAATAAACGCCTTTGGCTAGACGCTACACACATGCTGGCAATTACAAACGAATCCACATACAAAGCAATTTAGCCTGTTTATGGCATTGCGCCTGTTCTTATACTCTCTCATTTGCAACGTTTAATTTTTTAAATGTCAACCTGCCAACTGTTTGTATTGACACCAGTAATATACAGAAACATAATAAGATTCATTCTTCGATTGTTCATTGAAAATGAACATCAAAAACATAAACAACTTATTCGATTCTTTTATTTATTTTGCTCGATGAATTGCAAATTCATTCATCGTGTGTGTTTGTGTCATTGGGAGAATGATTGGAATACAGATTATTGAACTTGAAAGGCACAATATCAATCACTTAAATATGTTTTCCCATTTGGACATAATTTGTGTTTTTTTTTTCATGGAGAAAATAGTTAGCTTGAGAACGATGGTTCTCAGAACGGAAGAAATGAAAAACAAAATCTCTTCTCGCTGTAGAGATGAGAAAAAACGCGGAGGACGATGACGTAAATAATATTCAAACTCTCATTTCATTTTCAATTAAATTCTATTTTTGACCCAATTTTTTCTCTCAACAATATTTGAATGGAAAAGAAATGAATTGATACCTAACAACGGCAAAGTAAACCAAAAGTTTATGGGATTTGGAGCGGAAGAAAGAAAAAGCATCTTCTAACTGCTGAGAAACGAAATAGTCCACGTAAGAAACGGTTTGAAATTTCCATTTAATCTATAGTCATCTTTTGGAAAATATATTTTTTTCTAGGTTTGATCAAAATGAATATTGAAAAACGTATCTTTTAAAAACAACAACAACATAGCACCAACAAGACACATTTGTTCTTTTCTGAAAAGAAAAAAAAACAATAATGAATTGCATATAAACGCGCAGTCTATTCTCTGTTTCATCACTGAAAAGTAATGTTTTGTTTCTTGCATTGTCTTCTCGATGCTTTTCAAACCTGATTGAATATTAATGAACGGCTTTTGTGGATGCGATGACTTTCAGAATTGTTTATTTTGAACAAATATTTCCTGATCGATGAAATTCACTTTTGACCCGAATTGGTTGTTTTTGCGCGTCTCTTATATTTCCTCAAATTGATTTTTCCGCATTTTCTTCTCGTCGTAGAATGTCAATGTGCTGACAAACTTCTTTTATCGAACAAAAAAACAAATATCGATGCTTCTGTTCTTGAGTCTTTTCGTTTTACATTGGAATTTTTGCAATTCAAATTAAATTCGGAAGCAAAGAAGAATATGATTATATTTCATTTCAAGTTCAAGGATTTTGACTGCGTAATATCGAGTTTATTTATGATAATTACTAAAATCGGAAAATGAAAGACCCGAGAAGCAATTCCTTGGCTTGAAGGTATTTTCGCCGCCATTCATTTTGGTTTCATTCGGCTAGATTAACAATCGTCATTGAAATGTGCAGCGTGAGTGCTATCCACAATTCGGTCATAAATGTTCTGTTTTCCTTTTCCATCGTCGAAAATAATGGATGCGAGAGAGACAAATAAATTTTCACTGTAATTTGATTTTGGCGGCGATGAAACCATTTTTTGGAGCGCCTCTGCTACAATGACCAATAAGGTTATTACGTTTTCACTAGAGAGAATATTCAAGAAAAAAAAACAATAAAATGGAATATTCTTTTCGATTGTGTGTCCGTCATAAGCACATAAAAAATATGATTTATCATCGAATCGCCTTGATCTAAAAGTATTTTGAATAAATTACACGTTAAATTTGCTCGTTTGTGCTTAGAGCGTAGTGTTGTTTGTGTTGTTTGCCAAAACTTTTGAATGATTGCCTTTCAAATGGTGTGAAATGTGGGCAAAATATTCGAGAGCATTGTAGAGAGAAAAAAACGGTGCACACCAATGGATTCAATAAATTATCCAATTGCATTCGGTATGTTTTTCTTCTTTATTTTGGTTCTTCTTGTATATATTTGTATTTATAGATGAGAAATTCATTTGCATGTGAGAATAACAATGGAAATGTGTCGAATTGAAGTTATTTAAACAATGTTGTTGAATTAGAAACATTTGATAATTGGCTACAATCTTTTAGCTTATTTGTGTGCCGGAATGAAAACAGGGGTTGATATGCAAGTTTTAACTGGGAAAACTTGAACAAACAATGGCAACAACAATTGCAGCAAACAAAAACGGAGCTTCAAAAATTGGATGAGCAAACATTTGCAAGAATAGCCCGAACTTGAACGAAGTTTTGTTTGCATGTCTGTTTGCTTGCTTGTGTCTCTCGCATTGCATGTCTTCGCCACAAAATGCATGCCTGCATCGAAGAAAGAGAGAACAATACGTATGCAATCACGGCCATTGTTGAAACACTTTTTGGGACATGTTAACGAAAGCTGTCGCCAATACAATGACAGAACCGCCGACACAAACAACACACACACACATGGATGTATCAGTTGTGAGTGAAGCCGGGAAACAATATGGAGCATAAAATGCAAATTTGATTTTCTGTTTGCAAATCTAATAATCTGTTTTGCATTTTAGCGATCTGTGTATTTCTTTGCTAAGCTGTTCAATATCCTTCGAGTATATATATATATATATATGTGTGGGTCTTCCGGATATTTGTTCCAATCCCAAGCATTTCGATTTTCATCGTACACAATCCATTTTGTTGGCGGTTAACATAAAAAACCGGTATGCTCGGTGTTTGTGTATATTTTCACTTAAAAATTTTCGATTCCCATTTTATGTTGTTGTTACAGTCTTCTTTTTTTGCTTCTAACACTTTTGATTGCACTATCCGCCTTAAAAGTTTTCGCTTAAGTTTTGTTGTGGGAATGCATACAAAGTTTTTAATGCGTTTACTATTTTGGCATTTCCATAGCATTGAATTTCTATTCGAATGACGATAAATACATTCAACTTATGCTTAGTGTCGCACAATGTTTAGCCAAACAATTTCACTTGTTCCCCTCCCCCGACTCTCTCTATCTCTCTCTCCTTCTCACTTCCTTATTCCGTCTCAATAGCTTAGAGATTGAAAATGTTTCCATTTCGAAAAGTGCCGGAAATGATCGAAATGAACGAGCTCAAAACAATATAAAACAACATTTTGTTGCATCTGAAAACGAGCAAAAACTTGGAAACATTCGCCAAATGATGTCCTGAGAGGAGAAGTTGCGTGCTCCATGTGTCGCATCAATGTGCCAATTTTGTGATTTTGTACAATCATGCATGAAATTCCGTAATTTCCATATGATTTTCTTACTATCTGTGCTTTGTTTGGTTTCAATTCTTTGTTGCCTCTTCTGCACATAAAAAAATAGTTTAAGATTTAACGACATCTTTCCTTCACAATCATCTGCTTCGTAGCAATTTTCTTCAAGTTTTATCAGTTGTACGCTATGCACAAGATCAAAAACTCGTCCACCGTTCAGTGTATGAGTAAACGAATTATTCGGACATGAATAAGTCTTGTGTGAGTTAATTGATAAAATGGTATTCGATGAAAGAAAAAAAACAGTCAAGGGAAAAACTCCATTGAATAAAAGAAATGAGCACAAGATGATGACTTTTTTTTCGTGAACGAAACGAACGGAATCATAATATAAGAACGAATTTTGACATACACGAAAGATCACGCATAACGGACTCTCGTCTCAGCATATGAGGGACTGATGGAATGTGTATTTGTTATATGAACATAGAAAATTGTATATGGAAATATGTTGGATGATTTTAATGTTATTTCAAGTTTGAAATCACAAAAGAATTCAGTTTTTTTTTATTCTTTTCAAAGACAAAACTTGCAGTGCTCGAGCATTTCGCTGGTGCTGCTGTTTCGAATGTTTGGCATAACGAAGCTATGCGCACAGTTATCTTTCGAATTAACAGCGTGAAACTGAATTGTAACCCAATGTTGTTGGTGTATTATATGTGTGTACTTGTGCTGTTGGTGTAGAGTGCCCTGTCACTGTGTGACTGACTTCACTATATCAAACCGAATGCGGTTGCTCACATGAGCAAATGAATAAACGAAAGTAAGCAACCGAGCAAACTTTATGATTCTCTCTCATGCGAGGCATCATCTATATTGTTGTCACCGTTTTTCAAAACCGTCGTACAATGTACGGCTTGATTCATACATGCATATACCGATTTCGGAATCATGTGTACTCCGAATATGCGGGATTTTAAATTGATTTTAACTAGCTTTAATTGATTGACTTTGTATTGGTGTGTATATGTGTGAACATGAGCTCGATCTTTTTCATTGTTCCAATGGTCCAAATACATGCATTTGTTTACGCGCAACAAAGAGCGGACGACGATGACGGCAACGACAATACACCAAGAACAATGTAATACTATCGCCCATGGGTTGAAACGAGACGAATAAACTTGAATATATATGCTTGAAGGGAGCGCGCGCGCCCGATTTATGACTATGCTGAACATTTTTCTCACTTGTTCCATCAGATAGAATAGAAAAGCAAAAA